ACAGACTAGCTTGGTAAGTCATCTTAGATGAACTTGCCATCCAACCCACAGTCAAAAGGCAACTTCACCCACTGTCCATACTGGAAGAAAAGAGGAAAGGTCCTCTGGACGAGCGACCTGTGCGAGAGCAGGGGGAAAATCGTATTCAAAAAGGTGCCAAGGTTGGAGCTGGGTCCACGAATCAAGGAGACACGCCCGACTGAGGCCATCCGAGGGGTTGGAGTGACTATCAATCCACTCGAACCACACTCGAATCCGAAAATGCTGCAGCAAATAATGCGCAAGCTGAACCATGGTGTGGACGTCTGCCTGAGAGCTCCCGCCCCGAATCAGGGAAGCTACTGCAGCTTCGTTGTCCACAAACCACAATACATCCAAGTCGGCCACAGCGTGTCCATGGAACCAGGGAGCCAGCAGTCCACACAAGGTCTCACCTGGGTAGATCTGCTGGCTGCGGGGCTGCCATGAGCTGATGACCCGTTGGGGGACTGTGCAGGTCACCCCACAGGGGGTGTCAGTTCGCCACATGATCACCCAGCCCAGCCGGAGTGTATCATTCTCAAATGACGCGTCAGAGTAGATGATCAGGGGTGTTGCTGGTTTAGACCTGACAGAGATGACCCGCGGTTCGGGGCAAGCCACAATGGCCGCGAGAAGCCGCAGTGTCAGGCAATCATCCTTGGAAAGGTCTGGAGATGCCGCTTTCTGTTTGGCTGCGAGCAACGGTCCCCCAATACGGCCTGCATAGCCAGCGCACATGGAAAACATCCAGTTGAGGTCGCCCCGGAGCTTGCCGGCATCATCAGGGGAGAGACTGGATGTGTCCAGGGCAGCACGCAGTTTCTTTAAAATCTTGGTGGATGTGGAAAACTTGGGTTGAAATCGGATCAAACCCTCATGAACGAAGTCTCCAACATGGACGGATGTTCCGAGGTAATGTCGATTGTGCCCAGGGGCGAAGGTAATGTCGATTGTGCCCAGGGGCGAACGACTTCGCTGGCTGTGGCGGTGCGCCTAACAACCTGAATGTCAGTTGCAAACCGACCTGGGACACATCATGATCCTGGATGAAATCGACGGCCAACTCGTCATCGAAGTACGCGGCCGCGAACCCAAGGAGGGAGCGCCTCACAATGGCTACACCCAGTTGCGGAAACCTGTTAAAATTCACAACTGCACTCTCCAAGCCATAAGCAAGTCCATACATAGTGGTGAACCTCCAACCTAGGTGTGGGACGAAAATGGCCACATTTGAGTAGCAGAGGTGTTCATCACATACATTCAGGTGTGTTCAGACCCGTCAGACAAGAAGGCAAAGCGGCTCTGTCCGAGTGGCTGGGTCCCTCGGCAGACGCGGACGTGCGCCGGCTAGTGCATAGCAGGCCTCCTCTGCACAGTGATGCTATCCATCAGATTACTTTGGAGGAGATTGATAAGGGCTTTTGCAGCCCGTTGCGGAGTATGAAGGAGATGGATGACTTGTTTGGACAGGGTGGATGGAGGGCGGTTGAGCGTTTCCTGATCATCCAGCCGGATGGTAAACAAATCTCCTACAATGGGAAATCCTTGCACCAAGTGCTGAGCAAGCGAAAGGTCAGGCCAACGAATCAGAATGGCAAGCACAGCAGTCAATGCTGGTTTCTTTCCGTGAGCAACCTGTGTCGCCGCCTGGCAGCGAAAGGGCACTAAGGCCTCTTCCAGGGGTGTTAGGGCCCTCGACACGGTGTTCAACACATGCCGGAGTTTGGACGCATAACGTGGGAGGCACTTCTGCCATACATACAGTGCTTCAACAACAAAACCAATGTCCGGTTCTGGCCAGTCCCGCGGGTAGAAAGGGGTAGGCAGCTCGGCCGATGCTGCGACATGAGCCTCCCACCCCCAATCAGGATACCTCGTGGGTGACGGCGCTGAAGAAGTCCTCGAAAGTGGTCAGCCCGCACATCCTCAACCCGATCCAGGTGCACGAGGTTAGGCATAGCTTGCTCTGCACTGCGTACAGCGTCCTCATCACTCTCAGCGCTGAGGGCGTAGAAATGAACACCCATGGCGAGGAGGGCTACGCAGAGACCCCCCACACCAGCCCAAAGATCGACGACCAACCACGTGCCCCGAAAGGGTTTCGCCCATGGGTACTGCGGCAGATCACTGCGCCCCCGCCACCTCACAGGCTTGGCCGCTGTGAGGCGTGCTGCGACATCCATAGAGCCCATGACAGGAGCGGCGTCTCCAGCCAAAACCACACGCCTGCCCTGACCGAGATGTGGTTCCTCCGTGAGGGAAAGCTGCGAGGATTGCCACGGCTCCACTTCGTCGGGGCACCCAGGCCCCCAGGGGGAGCTGTCCCTATTCAGAGTGCTGCAGGCGAGTATGGCCTGCTGAGCATGGCTTCCCCGTAGACCCGTAGAGAGCTTCACGTCTGCACTTGTGGATGTTGGGGCACTTAGCTTGCTGGCATCCCCTGCCATCGTTCCATGGCTTGCAAAACCGCTGGCCTCCCTTGACCTGGCTCACAGTAGGCCACCGGTCGGACTTGATCTGGCGCTTGGCCGGGGGAGCTTTCTCCTCAGAGGGCGCAATCTCCGCAGCTTTGCGCTTGGCCGAGGCCACCTCAGGCATAGAAGGCTGCAACGCTGGGGATCGCCACTCCAAGTGAGTTTGGCGGAGGGCTTCAGCCAAAGCGCTGCCCCCTGTGTATCCCCGTCGAACCAGGGATGCCATCTTGGACCTGGTGAGAGTGTCACAGAGCAAGCTACCATGGCCATACTCCATCGTTGATTGCAAAGCGTGGTCCGCATAGGCCAGTGCTTGGTCCAAGGGCATGAAGGTGCGTTCCTGCTTGTCGAAGTCCTGCTGCTTGAAGAGACCAGCCCAGCCCCAGGCATAGGCTAAGGTCCGCAGCGCCCAGTAGTGGTCGACCACGGTCTTGGTATCCCGCCCTTCCTCCGTCTGAAACTCCAGCTGCACGCCAGAACCCAGTCTGACCGCTTCCTGGAGGCGAGGGGTGGACTGATGCAGGATAGACCGGATCTTACTGGCTGGAATGACAGTCATCGTGCGCTTGCGGAATTCACGATAGCACCTGCTGCGAAGTGAGTCGGAGGGCTCAAGCATGGGGTCCAATGTCAAGTTGTACTTGGCCAGGAAATCACGCGACATTTGTTGCATAGTGCTGTCTGGAAGAACTTCATCAGGGGCGTCCACATGCTTCTGCTCGGAGGCTGCCGTCTTGATGGCGGCAAGGCCCGCAGCCCGGGCCACTTTCAAGCGAGACCGAGCAAGGCGGTTGTCTTTCAATGTAGTGGTCAGCAAAACCTGGTTCAGGGAGTCTTCGATGTTCACATCATCAAACCAGTAAACGAAATCTTCCAAAGTCTCACAACGATGTTTGGCAATGATCTCCTTGGACCACTCCGGAAGGATATTGACCACAGAGAAGCACATCGCGAGGCCGCGGTCGTCGGCATAGACATCAATGTGGGAGGCATGAGTCATCGGGCCTCTCAGAAAAGTGGAGGAGGGCACCTGAAGATCTTGGGCCAGGACCACGGGAGTGGAGGATGACTGGAAGGCGCAGCTTCACAACCGCACCCCACACTACACCAGTGTGTACATGGCCTCGAATGCCTCAACCCCACCAGAGTGAACGTGTCACAAACAACCTCCTAACTACCAGTAAATGGACCAAAAAGGAGGGGAGATCAAACACGGTAATCTAACAACGTGCGACGGGGGCCGTCCCCCTGCCGACGCGCCCGCCCCCCCCCGAAGACAGGCCCGCAGCACTTTTTCATACCCACCGGGTGGACGGTTAGTGAAGCCACCCGCATGTGTCTGCCAGGGCCTTGTACAGAGCCCGTGGCATGCGAGCCAGACACCGCTGGCGAAGCGCGCTCTTGGGGAGGGTATTAAAACCCTCACCGACCTGCTTCGGGTCTTGCGCGTAGGCCGCATCACGGCAGAAAGGGAGGAGCCTCCCATCCAACTCTCCTTGGACCAAGTGTACCCGGGAGGCTTGCACGAACCATTTGCCTTCGCATCCCAAGTCCGCTGGGGCGTCAATGCCTTCCAAGTCGGACGCGGCTGCAGAGATATCTGAAGCTGACACGGACGTAGTCGATGAAGAAACTGACAAAACCCCTTCTGCTTGGTTGGCGGGCGACAGGTTGTCAGCCTCAGGCTCCTCCTTCACCACCTCAGTAACCGGGAGGACCGGTTGGGCCACCTCCTCCGGGGTCAAAGACACCTCACAAAGTTCGACCGACTCCATCCCTGGTGGGAAGCGCTCATTCGCCACCGCGAGCTCCTGCCAGGACCAGGAATCTCTGGGCAGCAGCCCATCGTGCGTGAGGGCCAACTCAGGCTGCTTGAGCTGCCACAGCTGGAGGAAGCGCTTGACAAGGGCCTCCTTGAGCAGGCCGCTATGGACCACCTTCTGTCCGGCGTAATGCACGCCCATCGACCACGTGGCTCTACTCTTGCGCTGGGGAGTGGGGCCACCCACACTCGGCACTTCCACCCAGCTTCCAAGAGATTGTTGGTCTTGGTTATCCAAACGACAGATCTGACCCAGCGTGGGCAGGAAACGTCTCAACCGGTTGAACCCGGCCACCTGTGCTTGGGCTGGGTCCACACCAATATCCATCAACGTGCCCCTCATCAACTCGAGGAAACGGCCTCTCGACATTTTCTTCGTCATGATCCAGGGGGTGGTCTCAGTAACCTGCCACAACTCATCGGCCTGCAAGGCCACTGCAGGCCATAGAAAACCAACATCCGGCAAGGCCTCATGGAGGACGAAGTCTTTCACGATCTTCAAGAGGCTAGCTCCGCGGAAAACCAAGTCGGGCATAGCCCACTCATAGGGAGGTCGGGTACCCTGACGCCGAGCCTTCCCCTGGGAGCACTTGAAGATGAGGAAAGTGTCCGCCTCGCCCACAAAGCTGGAGCGTTGAAAATGTTCAAACCTGATGCATGACGTAGCTGCCCACAAGAACATAGCCAGGAGCAGCAGGTGCGTACCTGACGCCTGACGGAGGCGCAGGAGCAGGTTCATCTCCCAAGGCTGCAATTCTTGCTTCTGCTGAACCGCATGGCTCACGGGTAGCAACTTGTACGGTTGCAATAGCCAATGATCCAGCTCAAAGGGGAGGGCAAAGTGCTGGCGGAACCACTTCAGGGCATGGAACATGCTTGTAGCTGCTGTAGGGCCCCCGGCCGCAACGGCCTTGAAGAAAGCACTCAACTGGAGGGGTGTAGGGGCACGAACATGGAACTGGTTGTCCAGTGCATACGTCCTCCACCGTCTGAGGGCGCTCACCAGAGCAGCCGCTCGTTGAGGCAACACACGGCTAGCCGCTGGCATGACTGTCTCCTTGAGGAGCTGGCGACGAACTGGATCGCACATCATGGGTCGATCGACCCCTATTCCTCCAAATCGAGGAAATCTTCCATCAATAACTCAAACATTGCCTCCAGCTTGGCGTTCTTCTGCAAGACCTCCTTCGCCGAACGGGTCTTGGGAGGCATCTTGAATCATAGTGGGAGCAGCCGATCCAGGGCCTGTGGAGGTCAAGTGGCGGAGCCGGACACCGGCAGGTGGCACTGTAGAATCCTGTCCTGATTGGACCGGGTGAATCGAGATGCACGACCTCCGATGATCCTCCACACGCCGTTGGGCTTTGGCGCGGGTGCTGTGGGCCCTGCCGGAAGCCACCGTCCAGAATGTGGCCACCGCGAACTCCTGGTCGGGAGGCAGAGATCCAATCTCGCTCTCCACTTCCTGCAGGAGTTCCTGGCTGCTCCCCCAAATACCTATAACATCAGTGCACGTCCAGGACCGCCAGTTCTCGTAGGCCATCAGGCTTGTCCTGAAGCAGATCCTGAAGCTCCTGCTCCACTCTGTGCGCAGTGTCACACTGCTGACAGAGTGCGCTGTATTCGAGCGACGCTCTCAAATAGCAGCCCTCACACCACGATGTAGTCCAAGCCCCACGAGCCCTGCAGAAGGCCACCGAATGCCACGAGCCCTGCAGAGAGCGACTCCAATCGACTCTCCACGGGAAGGTCCAGAGGCGGCAATCGGCGGCATGGCCAAAATTGAAAACCCCCGGACCTTCACTTGAGCCAAAATGGCATTCAAGTGAAGGTCCTAACACTTGCATGTTTCAGATCCCAAGGTGTCCCTTCCCAACCAACCATTCACCTTGGTGGATAATTGGGCGTGTCACTCAAAATAGGGAGATCTCCCAAGCAACGACCACTTGAAAGGTTCGGGAAATGGACTGCCAGGGTGTCTCCCGTATTCAAATTCACACCCGTATTGTACCGAGTATTTCCCTTCATCCATCAATACCGGCCCGGATTTTTTTGGGAATCGAAGTCAATCACCATGTCATTTGTAATCTACCAACGTATTTAGATGGTACAGCAATATATTTAAGGCCGGGCCTGTCTCCCATGTTCATGTTCAACTTGGGTTAACCAAACAAAACGTCGTTAGGTCCGGGGGAATCACTTCATGAGGTCTGGGAGGATCACTGATTCACTTCTACATGGCACCTGACAATGGCTTAGTGAACCTTTAGCTCGCGAACTTGACGATCATTGAGCTACGGTCAGACTCTGGGATCAAACCTGTTGTAAATGCATTTGTATACAGGTTGGATCTGGTTGGTTGATAGAGTAAGATTACAATGGAAACCATCGATTCTTCATGATTCTTCTAAACCAGGCAGTATCAAATCATGCTAAACCGGTTCAAGTCCATGGCTTCAGGAGTTCTTCCGTCCTTCTTTGCGTCCTCACCTCCCTGAACCCTCTGAAACCTCTCCCTTTGGGCGGTCCTCAGGCCTAGTCTCTCCTGTGATGGGACGAAGGCTCGGAGCGTTTGGACGCGACTTGCTCGGGCCGGGGCGAACAGCCTGGCCGTACTACGAACGGAGCAACAGCCTGGCCTTACTTGAAGGCACCTGGCTTTCCCCCTTTCTTGAAACAGAATGCTCCGTTCGTAGCGATGCCAGGAGCCCCGAGGCCCCTAGCGTTCTTGCTCCGTTCGTAGTAAGGCCCCCGAACGTAGCGTTCTTGTTACTAGGGTACTCAGTCCAAGCATAGATTGATCCCCCGCTGAAGTGCGTGTCAAGTGCTTGTCGTAGTCTCACGACACTTGGTTTTGGTGTCCAACATGACTTGGGCTTCCCGTGCCGATCACTGTTCACGCTATCGGGAAAGAAAACGGACATCGTGTTCCCGGACGTGCATGTAGACGTGGGTTAATCGTCTATAGTGTAAATTCGCACAGTACATATGCACCCATGTACATCCAGGGTATTTTGACATGTCTTTTATACCTGCCGCACAGACGGCCAGGTCCGGGGTGTGTTGGTGCACGCGAGATCTCGACCTTCCAAACTCGACCATCCCAGGTAGTCCAGTCTGTTCATTTTGATGAGTCAACCAAGTCTCCCGGTTTTCACCCAGAGCCATATGCTCCCCAGGAGAGAACACTGTCCGAACTTTAGCGTTGGCAAATCTGTGAGCACCTTGAGCACCGTGACTGTCCTGGTTGTTTCGCAGCTGCCCTTATGACTCTACCAAGTACTTAAAACCGCTGGGGCTTTAGCGCAGCCACGTAGATGACATGAATTCTGGGGGTGGTTTATAGGGCCCCAACCCTCGTGTTTATGCAAGCTACTCTGAAGCCACTATAAACCCAATAGACAGGAGTTTTTGGTGTGTTTTAGAGGCTGAACATGCCAAATACGCACTTGCTGGACTTGTGAAATGAATGAACATAGACATACATGGACAACAAAGGGATGTAAGATGAAGTAGTAAGTCTTTAAGTGCGCTCAAGTGACGCACTGGATTGCTTTGCATCTGTTCGACTTGAGCATTCGAATCGTGGGATCTCACCCAACTTCCTCCGCTATGCAGCTTCAATGTTTTGCTATCCAGAAAAAGCTCGTCCACTCTTAAGCATTCACCTGCCTCCCACCCAAAAAACAACGCCTCCTGCACCCTCCTAGGGCGTGGGTTCCAGATTTCTCACCCCAAATCCTTCCCGTGCCCAGCCTGCGCGAGCGGTCGATGGTCGGATCGCACCATGGACTGCATCGCCTGCCTGGCTAACCTGAAGCAGTCCGGTCGGAAGTTTGAGTCCTGCACCCGACAAGCACCAGGTCGACTCGACATGAAGGGTTGGGCAAGGCCCGAATACAGTGTTTCAATTGGTGACCTGGCAGGTTTCGGGTGCTGGTAGAAATTCCGTGTTTTGCACAAAAAATCGAGATAAGTGAGCTGTGCCACGTGCGTGCGAGTGCTTTGGCCCCAAGAAACATATAGCGCGACATGGGGTTGCGCGACCTATGAACCACAGAATCAACCCATGAGTAGACGACAGGTGGATTTTCCGAAGCGAACCCAGAAAGTCGGAACTCACTGCGTCTCTCCGGAAAAAAAAAAAAAAAACACTCACTAACCGCCTTCCTTATGTACATAGGTGGATCATGAGCATGACTAGCATGACTAGCATGACTAGCACTAGCAGAACCTGGACTCATTGGAAGTTCAGAAAGAAGCTGAGATGGACCCCCCCCCGTGTCGGACCGGGGCCACCGGGGAGAATGCGGGGAGCGGAAGCTTCCGGAGGTTGAGCGTCCCAAGCCGGTGAGTCTGAAGGCAAACTCTGGATGAACGAGCCCCAGGCCTGAATTCTGCTTTTACAATCCGAAGGGGGGCGTTTGATTCATCCGTGTCCACGCCGATGTTGGTCTAAGAATGTCAAAGATGGTCTACCCTGCACATACCAACTATCTCCAGCCAGGATGCCCCCCACACCCATCCGCTCTCTCCATAAAGATCTCACTTGATCCGGCCGCGTCGTCGTTCCGATCCCACCGGCGCCGCCGCCGCCGCCTCGCGCGGTTCAGCGTGGCAGCTCGGAGGCGGTTCGCCAAGCGGCCCTGACCGGCGGTGCGCCGACCACCGCGGGTGAGAGCGTCACCGGTGAGAGCGGTGCCGGCGCCGATCCATGAAGCACCAGTTCTGCCAAAGACGGAGATCACATGAAGGACCATCGAGCCCCACCTGGTGCTTGGGGGGGAGGTCTCCCTGGATACTATGATGTTAAAAGATGTAAGAATACGATCACCTGAAGGCCCCAAAACATCCAACTTCCCCATCTTCTTCCAGCTTCCAAGTGACCATTGGAAGGCTTGACCGAACTTGGGGATCGAAGAACCAGGTGTTGTGTTGGGCTGACTGGTCGGCTGACGGGTCAGTCGTCCAGGGTCGTCTCCCCCATGTGAGGCCTCTGTGTCAAGGCGGGTGGGTTGATGTGGACTTGGAAGTCTTCAAAGTACCCTTTAGTTTTGGGTGTCCCACCAGGGTGAACACTCAGGTCGCGGAGCAGCGGGCCTGGTTGCTTTCTCGAATTCGGGCCACGGAATAGTGGACATCGCCTCAGGGAACACAGCAGTGCCTGGTGGGGTTGATACTGCTTCCGTGCGGCCGATGGGCCGCAGCCCATGGAGTCGAACCAGAAGCCTACAATGCCAAAAGATAAACAACCCAGACGCTCCAAACAGCTCTTGGTCCCTCAAACCCTACAAAATTTGAGGGTCCGGACCCCTACTTAGGAGGGTCCAGCCCCTACTTGGGAGGGTCCATGAGCGTCTGGGAATGACTAAATTCCTGCAGTCACGTTCGATGGGGTGCTATCCATGGAGGGCGCCGTCGGGGCGCCCACTATCCACCCACACCACCCAACTCCAATGTGACTCCTGGTGCATTGGATTGTTTCTATAATAGAGATGTTCGAGTCTGTCATTCCAGTCATGCAGAAATTGTACCATATCTGTCAGGCTGTAGAACCGAGAGTCCATGAGTCTCAAAGTACTTCAGAAAATGGGTACAAGTATGTACAAGTACCTGTTTTTATGGGGTCATGTCCCATTTTCTAAGATACTTTGGAGGGTCCGTATGTAAACATCTGGTCAAAAGCCAGGTGTTTTCAGAGGGGCCACCATCTTGGTCCTACGATTTCGTGATGGGGGGACCATATGAGAACGCTCCAAACATGTTTTTCAGGTGGCGAAGAGTCTTTGACTTGCATTGACCCTTGCAACAAACCCAACTGATCGATCAAGATGCCAGTCACATGGAGTGTTCGAGCCTTTATGAGCTCCCCATGCTCCTCTGTCTAAACCACGCTGAGCTCCCCATCTAGACGTTGGCAAGTTCGCCACGCGTGTTGCCACACGCCTGGTGTGGGCTGCCTGGCCACGCTTGCAAAAGGAGCACCAGAGATGTTCCCAGCTATGAAGAGCTTGGAACGTGCGGAGTCAATGATTTGCTTGGAACTTGGAACCGAGAAAAGACATGATTCCCCCTAAAAAGGATTCACCCAATTCGCAAATCAAAAGAACATAGAAATGAGCCTAAGCAAAGCCAAGAAGTTTCTGGGCACGGCTTCTAGTTTACACTCGGACGAACCGATCATATGGTTGGGCGGATGGCACCCCCTGTGTAGAGGAAAGTGAATCACAGAGCACTACACCCTGCAGATGTCCAGAAAGCAGAGAAAAACAAGACCTTCGTACTCGGGGTTGCTGCCCAGCAGCTTCGGGTGGGCCGAAGCTAAGACAACCACCCCTAACGATTTGCACAACCATCTGTTGAGGGTTCTTGCCTGTACTGCCACGACCTGAGCCAACTCTCTTTGCAAAAACTCTCTGCCATGGATCAGCCAGGAAGGGAGCCGAGGGCACCAGTATGTCCAACTCGCTCTCATGCCGAGATGTCATCAAAGAATGAGGCCGAGCTGAGCCATCACTTCGTTTTGGTCTACTTGCTTGACTGAATTCGGTGTTTCATGGTGTTTCGTTGTGTCATTTTTTTGGAGTTAGACTTCTGCCCCAAGCTTGAACGCATGTCCGCCCATTCTCCCGCTCTCTTTTCGGAGAGCTTCGCCTCTGCGGCTGCCCATTCCAACATCCGCCTCGAGTCGTCGGGTGAAGGATCAGATCGGATCGGGGCACAGCTCTGGTAAAGCTGGGGCGCAAATGGATCGAGCATCGAGGACCCATCGAATCATGGGCTGTTGTTCCATGGAGGTCTGTAAGAAAGCCAGGATCGACCCGTTCTCCCTTCACCTGCGTTGGACCACGAAGAACCGTGAACACGTGGAGGTGTAGAAAACCGAGCGTTCGTCTGACCTGCTCGCAGGTCCATGCAATTAGGTTCCATGACGCTTTCCATGTAGGTTTTCCATGCAGGGTACATCGGAACCCGGCCGGTTTGGATGTCACCCCGAAAGGTGCAAGAGGGCAAGCAAATCGTCCGATCCTTTTCGAAAGGAGAGGAGATGATCTACCCATGGGTGATCCTCAACAAAAGAAGAAGCAAAAACCCCCGCCTCTGAACCCTCAAAACGTGCACACTGGCGGGTCAGGTGTGTGTCAGGTGTGTGAAACACCTGACGTTTCACCTGAACCCTGCCCCTGGAATCCTCTGGACCTTCTTCTTCCCCTTGTTCATCCCCTTGCTCCCTCTTTCCATCGCTTCACGCGTCGCTTCACGCGTCGCTTCGGCCTCACGTCCTCATCCATTGCTTCGCTCTCCTGGCTGCTCCGAGCTGAACCGAGGTGAGCCTTTCGACAGCACAGCCACCACGCAGGCCACGCCGATGTGACCCTTGAACATCCATTTGTACGATGTGAATGATCGAAATTCACCATGCTCTAACCCATGCTCAATTGATTGCGCATTGAAGTTGGGCATGTGCCCAGCTGAAACGCCTTGCCGGCCCTGTGAGGATCCGCTGCCACCCTGTTGGCCCAGTTCCCATGTGGAGCTGACACCCGGAGGTGTGGAGAAGCAGCAGGAACAAGCCGCTCGGAAGTGGGGTCCAACCCGTTTTTCACATTAAAAAAACCTATATAACAAGTCCCATCCTGAACCGCTTTTTTCGCGGCCCAGGCTGGACACCACAGCAAAACCCCGCCGCATGGCTGCGCCGCGCCCGCCGTTCCCCAGCGGCCTTGCTGCACGTGCTGGGCACCGCATGCCGCACGTCGCGGACGTCGCGGCCGTCGCGGGCGTCTCCGCTCGCCGCACTCGGCTGGTCGGCCGGTCCACGGGCAGCGGAGATGCCCTGAGAGGGATGGAGGTTCTCTCAGGGTCAGATGGAGGGATGAAGGGCTCGAAATCAGTGGGCCAAAGTGTGCCAAAGGACCTACATCTCACCTTCGCTTTTTCAAACACACATGACTTCGCCCAGTCTCGTTGGCTCCATCTGGTCGGTTCTCGCAAGTTGATCCTCTCCTTTAGCCGCTTTTTCACACGTTCCGCGCTTGTCCATGCCAAACAGAAACCCCGCACTAAACGGCACCTTCTGCAGCTTCTTGGAGCTGGGCCGCACCGGAGCACCTCGTTCGGCCCGACTGTCGACCCGGACGCGTCGCACCGCGTCGTCGCGTCGTCCCGGCGTCCGAAGGGTCGGTGTTGGCCGGTGGAGTTCAAGTTCGGAATCCCTGGGAGTCAAATACTATAAAAAGAATGGTCTTTGGGGGACCTGAAAGGGAACTTCCTTTACTTCAGCCGGTCCAAATATAGTCTTTGGACTTCTAGGGGAATGGTTGTCGTCCATGTTGGTCATCTATACTGGGACCCTCCTGTCGGGGTGCCCTGTCTGGAAGCCGAACGGCCGGTAGTGTGGGGTAGTCCAGCCAGGACACCCCGAAAACGGAGGGTCCCGGTATAGTCCCAGCTTTCCGACTTGGCAACGAGATTTGGGCGGGGGGTTCGACCTGATCTGGTCTTCTATCTAGCCCACCAGACCATGACGTCAGAAATAGACTATACCGGCACCCCAAGGTGTCTTGAAAAGAGATGGGGGTCGAAGCACCGACTAGACTGTACCGACTATACCTGAGTGACCTCTATGTTGCAGTCAAAAAACGTGGTCTTTTCCTATCAAAACAGAGGTCATATGGATTCTAGGTATATCTGTCCCATCTACTCTCACTCCGCTCAAAAAAAGGTCATAAAACAAACAAAAGACCTGTCGACTGGCATATCTTTAGTACGTTCGGGGTGGTTGATTGGGAATCGTGAATATGCTAGTTCCATCGGGTCGGGTATGGACTATCCCAGCTCATGTTTCGGCTCGAACTCCTCCGTTTCGGCTCGAACCAACAGCAAATTGGGATCTCGCTGGGTGATGAAAGTCACTTGGATGGCCTAGACCCGGCTCCAAAACGAGCTGGAGAGTCCAATGGAGAGTCCAATGTTCAGAACGTGAGTGGTTCATCCCCATGGGCGCTGGTCGACATTGAAAGCTCAAAGAGCCTTAGGGAAGCCCCAAGCTTGCACGAGTTGCTCTCAGGCTTTTGTGTCTGAGACCTGCGGAAAGAATGAGACGATTTCAGGTTTGGAAAGTGACTTCTTTGCTCACAACCGGCCGCTGGTACTCTTTGAAGAAACATCCGTCACAACGAGAGAAAGACCACAATAACACACAAATACCAGGACCCTCCAAGGGGTGTCCAATGGACTACCCCACACTACCTATAGGCTTCCATTGGGCACCCCTTAGAGGGTCCTGGTAGATACCTGTAAAGACTGAAGTTTACACCCAGTTACTTCTTTGTTTCACATCTGCAAACCAGTCCGCCAGTCCAATTCTGAGACATCTCACGCTTGGATGGCGTTCGCTTGTTTCCGGCTGGCCCGCCCTGGCACGCTCCCGGCAGCGCTTGGAGCACCGACGCTCGAGGCAGAACGGTGGTGGACACGGGTCCAAGACGGATGTGCAAATCTGGAGTTGATCATGACATGAGAATATAAAGCCAGGAAGAAATCGACTAGAGTCTAGAGTGACTAGAGCCCACTATGCAGACTTGTTGGCATCGCTCTCAGATCAGTATGTGTCAGCTCCACGGAAGAAACATCGTCAAGGCCGAAGCTTGCATGTCTTTTCAGGCCTACCTGAGTCATAGATCATCTTCTTCCGCATCCCCTCCCCACTCTCACATGGTTTGCTCCAAATGATCCCCCGACCCCCGCTATAAGGAAGCCCCCGTTGAAGAAAAACGTGCCAAAAAAGCATAATTACCCAGAAGCTTCAAGAGACCGGGAAAAACATGTGCTGACTCATATTCCATCGAAGTGGGCATAGTTCGTTCGGAAGACGATTTCAGACCATCCCATGGTACCATGGGTGCACCCTGTCCGTCAAAAACCATAATACCAGCACCGAAACCTGCCAGGTCACCAATTGAAACCTGTTAGGGCCTAACACCCAACCCTCCATGTCGGAGACCTGGCAGTGAGGGGTGCTGGTAGGTCAAAACCCCAAGCACCATGGGTGTTCATAGGACTCCTTGCACGCAAAATCCCCTCCTCTCGGAGCCCTCCGTCGCTCACCGCGCGCAACGTGGTGCCTCTGAGACCGGAGAGCGGCGTGGGGCCGCGGAGGTCCGCCTGGACGGTCCGTGCTCCTTGATGGGTTGACCCCTGCTGGGGTGGACTAAGAAGAAGCCTTTTCGAAAGGGAGAAGTTCCTGGAACGACCTGGAACATCCTTCCTGGAACGTGTCTGGATCAAGTCGATGATCCGCCGTTTTTTTCCAAGGAAGCTTCCTGAATCCAGATTCGATCGGTGGTGTCTCTCTTGAAAGCCCATCGGAAACCGCTCATCATCAGGACTCCAAGACTATATATTTAGCAATACCAAAGTGCCTGGAGAACCAGCGGATGCTTTTCGCGGCCAGCACCCGAAACCTGCCAGGTCACCGATTGAAACCCTTTCTTCTTGGGCCACCACCCAACCCAACCCATCTCGGAGACCTGGTCAGGTCGCAGACCTGCTTCGACCCCTTCCGAAACGGGCCGGACCTCGGAGCGGTCCCCGCGACCGCGCCCGGAGTTTTCGGGTCGCGGGTCGCGGTGGCCTGCGGGGGACGCGTGCGCGGGTTCCGCGTGCGGGGGGACTGCGGGGGACGCGTTCGGGGGCCAGGTCTGGCCCATCAACCACCTGGTTTTCCCATGTGGTTTTGATGTGAAAACCGTGATTGTTCATGGGTTGGAGGGCCGCGTCTCTCAGGCACGACCTGGAAATGGGACACGACCTGGGTCGTGAAAAATGGCAGCAGTGGTTGATTGATTCATTTCAAGGGGTCAATGTAGGTCAATGTATACCCCAGTCCTATGGACTGTCTGGGTTAGAGACATCGGCTTTCTCGCATGCATGATGCCACACTTCTGCTGCGAAAAAAAGTTGAGAAGAATAGAGGAAGAGGAGCATGTAGGGCTCACTGAACGTCCAAAAACTATAGGAAACCCGACCTTTTGGAGAATCACGCTTCCCGACCATGGAATTTGAGGTGCAAAAATCCGCAGCTTCGGACACTGCTCGGAGGTATGACATCCGTCTCGTGCCTCCCCGTGTCATCCATGTACATCTGTCATCTATCTGCCAGCACCCTCACTGCCAGGTCACCAGTGTGGGAGACCTGTAGAGTCGGGTGCTGGTGCTTGGATATAAGGGCATTTTGCCAGCATAAACCATGTTCTACCATGTATGACAGCATATGACATGTTCGGTCACGCTTTGGTGCTCACTCATCTTTGACATGAAACCCCGGGTTCACCCCAACAGGATGCAAGTCCTTGCAAGCCAATAGAACCCCAACAGCCAGCTGTTTGGGGGGAGGCCAACCGATTTTCCACGCCATCGCATGACCGGTCCCTAACCCATCGTCTGGTTCCCCGTCCGAAGGTCCTCTGCGGTGGAACCTGGGTCCGTCGCCCTCCTATCTCTGCGGCCCGCGCCGGCGCGGAACGGGGGCCACGGGGGGCCGGGTCGCCTCATCCTTCCGTGGCGGAAGGACCACCAAGCCCAGGCGTTTCAAGCGCCTGGGCACGGTCGAACTTCGGGAAAAGGCGGAGGAAGGGCAGGAGCGGAGGCGGAGGCGGAGGCGGAGGAGAGGAAGCAGCCATACCAGGTAGGTCTGGTTTGCGTGTTTCGAAGAAAAAAGAATACCAGCACCTTCAAAGGGGTCACCAATGGAAGCCCCTACACTACCGGATCTCCATTGGACACCCTTGGAGGGTCCAGGTATATGTTCTTTTTTCAACATATATAAGCTTCCCTGTTCAAGATCCCGCAGGAGATTTGTTGTTCAGGAACCTGATGGTTTAAAAAGAAAATGTTAAGTTGAAGCTTTATATTGGCCTTCTCGGTCAACCAGTGATTTCTGCCACAGTGACTTGGTGTTTGCACCACTTGTCCGCACTTCCCGCGAAAAGCAGGCCCCTTTCAGATGACACTCCATGTCCCAGGACCCTCCAACAGGCTGTTTGGAGACCCTAACAGGTGGTTTCTGGGCACCTGTCGTCACCAGGAAGCACCTGTTCAAGAATGCTGGTTCTGGTCTGGGAAAAGCTTCTGTTTCTTCATCCGTCTCAGGATCCAAAGGTCCCACGCCTCTGGACTCCGAGCCCATTGAGGCCCGGACTCCGAGCCCGACTCCCGCGAGGCGGCCCTCTTCTGCGGCGCGGGAGCGACTGCGGCTCCCGCCGCCTCGCGCCTGAGCCGCGAACTGGCCGAACTGGACTGGCGGCCAGCGGCGGGAGGGGATGCCACACAAGCAAACACAAGGAAACGGTCCAAAAAAAAAGGGATCGCACAACACACGATCGCTTCTAGGTTGGAGGCCATCACTAGTAGGTCGGAGGCCGTTGCTTTCTCTGCAAAGGGGGGCGACGTGAAAATTGCCACCCCGAGGTTTTCAACATATTGCTCTGTGAGCTCGTCGGACAGGTCCTGACCAGCTGTACACTGTATACCTTGGGTCTATCCTATTACCAGGGCCCAGTGGATGATAATGGTTCAGTTGCAGTTCTTGTTCAAAACGAGCGATTTGCTTGTGAAGCCTGACTGTTACAGGTCAGTTCAGACAGACCCAGTGTGAACCTCACAATTCCACATCCCATCCCTGCACGCATCGGTCCCCCGTTAAAGAAACAACCCAGACGCTCCGTTCACAGCTCGACTGGTCCCTCAAAACCCTAGGAATTTGAGGGTCCGGACCCCTACTTAGGAGGGTCCGGACCCCTACTTAGGAGGGTCCAGGGTCGCGTCTGGGAAGTACACTCGGCCCGCACATTCCCCCCCAAAAAAGATGTCCCCCCATCCATCTCCCAGTCGTTCCCTGGCCCCCTTCCCTTCTCCGACTGACCCGATGGCCTCACTTCGGGGGGTCGAAGGGACTCACCCAACGTGGCCTGGCCGCGCCCAACCGCGAGCGGAGGGGCGTCCTCGTTTGCCGATGCGGCGCCGCTCATGGAAGGAGTCGTGCGTCGGAGTCGTTCTGCGGGTGTTTTTCCTTCGAAAAGAAAGATCACTCAAAGACTCCAAACCAATGAGCACAAGCGAGAGCTGCCAGGAGCTGCACGTGCAGCGCAGGAGCAGTTCTTGAAACAAGCTCTGTATTGTGTGTTGGAGGTCTCCCGAATTGAAACACACGCCCATACCTCCTCACAGAATCCTTTATACAAGAGAGTCTGTACCGCTTTTGTGGTAGCGACTGTCAGGAGGTTTTGGCATTGGACATGCAACACGGCTTGCCCTTTCTGCCGCTGATGTGGACATAGGCGGACTTGGGTCTGATTCAGCGAGGAGCATCTAAAACTGCATCAATGTTAAAGTGAATCCACTCTTAGTACATCTTAATACTGTCTGTCTTGCATCGCTTTTGGTCTATTCCACTTGGTTTATTGCTAGACCGAACAGATCCTGAAGACCAACCTGAACACCCCGGACCACCTGGAGGAAGCCCTTCACCGCCCCTCTTGGCCTTGTTCTTGGAAGCCTTGAGCTTCTCACTGCTCTGCTTCTGTGTCTCCGGAACAGCGCCGGGACCGCTTCCCTGGCGCGCGGGGCCGGACACGCGCGGTCCGCCTCGTGGTCCCTTTGATGAGACCAGAAAAGGCTTTATCAGGCCAGCGACTCATTGAGTCAATGCATGGAGTCATGTGGGCTTCTGCGGGAGTCACAAACCAAAAGAGGCTTGTGGCTTGTCGACGTGTCATTCTGAATTCTTCATCTTGCTCGCTGCGCTCGCGACTCCTTCACTGCTTCACACCCAAAAAAAGGCGATCCTACAGGCTCCTGATCGCCCGAAAAAAGAACAACGAACCAACACCACGCCGCGGTGGCCGCCACGCCGTCTCCGCCCCGGAGTGGCCCGGTCGCCTTCTTGGAGCTGGCGCGCTGCACCGGAGAACCTGGCAGATCGGTGCCACCGGTGGCGCGCCGATCTGTGGCGCTCCCCGGTGGACATTCTGTGGACGTTCTTCTGGCGTTTCCTCCGAAGGGTTCGGAAGCTCAGCTCCGGTTTTGGCCGGGCTTTAAGGCTAAATCGCTGGGGGTCTCGACACCACACACCTCGCTGACACCGCTGTGGACGAGATCTCAACACCGCATCCGATCCGGCAACATCCTGTTGTATCACCTGATGAACCTGTGAACCTGATAAGGTTGGCTTTGGAGTGTGGTGACCGGGTCACTTTTGAGCGAAGAAACAAGGAGAAGAAGTGCATGGTGTCTCTCCGATGGTGTCTCATCAAGAGCCTCGAAGACAGGTGATTCTTGTTTCGGTCCTGGTCTAAACCACATGAATGCAAGGCAAATCCGTTGCTGAACCCCGCTGAGGCCGCCACGCTTCGCTGAAACCGGCCGCTTCGCCTCCCCTTCCTGGACCCGGCTGAGTGGGGTGGCAGTGGACGATCCGGACGATTCAAACCACACGTTGGAGCAAAAAGACAGGCGCCCAAAGAGAGGGGAAGGAAAATGAAAGATCTTTTCTTGGCAAAGCCGGGAAAAAGGAAGACGACGTCTTGAGTCTGGTTTCTCCTTCCGACTGGCGAGCTTTCGCGAGCTTACGTGGGTGGAAAGCTGACCAGCATTTGCACTAGACCGACTAGACCTCCTGTAGGCCTCTTCCTCCCCCAGAACCGGCGCGTTTGGGGTCTCTATTCATCGCCCCTGAGAGGTCCAGACTTTGGATGTCCATTCACCCAACTCCAGTCGGTCCAGGAAGTGGATACGGTAGAGCCAACCAGCGAGTGTGAAAAGAACCATGGCCAAAACCAGAACCACCCTGCCCAAAAGTGATTTCGAGCCGTGCGCGATCTGCGGAGCGAGGCTCACTGGGTCTCGCCCATCCGACTACCTCCACCCCACCCCAACTGAAAACAACTGCGACGGGACCTCGGCGCGACGGGCCTCGCCTCCACCGGCTGACGTCGCAGGCGCCTGGAGTCGCGGCTCGCGACCGGCGGATGTCGTCGGAATGCTCGGCTCGTCTCGGCTCGTGGCGGCTCGTGTGACTACGCGAGGCTGACCTGAAACCACCCAGGCGCGACCCTAGACCCGAATCCTTTTGGAGGGGTCAGGGGTCGAACCAATCCCTAGTTTTTGAGGGACCAAGGGCTGTTTGGAGCGTCGCATAGTAGATCCACGATTTCGTTGTATACAACTCAGTCAACTTGTCTGATCCCCAGTTTGGGCCCTAGAACAAAGACATTTGGGGCGAAACTCTCCAATCTCTGTGATCAAGCATACACTCAAGCATCAGTTCGTATCCCAACTCAGCCATGTGCCTTCGTTCAATTGTCAGTCTGGTCCCCATTAAAACATATTAACACCGGACCTGCTTTATATAAGTAGATGCTTTGGGGTCTATCGTATTACCAGGGCCCGTTTTGGATGATGGGGCCTGGTTGCAGGTTGCAGACCTTCCAAACTGATTTGCTGCTGAAACCCGACGGTCACAGTGCCAGGTTCGGACAGACCCAATAAGATGCGGTTGCAGCTTGTTGGAAACCTTACGCCTTCACGGACACCCCACGGACGCAGCCAGTCGGACGGGCGAATCCGGAAGCACCAAAACAATAAACCGTGTGTGTGTGTGTGTGTGGCTTGGTACTGAAAGATGTCCACTACAAATGCAGGGGTCCATGTTCATTTATATTTGCATGTGCGTTCAAATTCATGGGCACCTCCTTCAGGCAGAATGGCGGACTGGCGAATCCACCGGAAAAGGTCCGTGCCTGGTTCCAGACTGGCCGCTGGCCTGGATCGTGGAGCGCTTGAAGGAAGACATGCGACCCGTGACGGGTCACACCCGAATCATCATCCGGTTCGGGTTAACGAGCCATGGGAGGTTTTTGCACCTTCTCCACCGAAATGCAGGGTCCGGACCCGGTTCCCAAACCCTATAAACCCTACCAGCACCGAAACCTGCCAGGTCACCAATTGAAACCTATTAGGGCCTAACAAACCTCCATTTCGGAGACCTGTTGGTTTCGGTGCTGGTATGTGTTTGCGAACCGGACCTGGATTCTCAGGGGTGGTCAACTGCCCAGCTCTCATGAACAAACAGAAGTCCTACGGTCCTACCTGAGCCAAATGCACCCAAAGCTCATTTGGGAGGGAATCACATGTCTCCCGAACACCACCCGGGCTTCCCTTCACTTCAGATGGATCACACTCCAAAAGCCACCCAACACTGCCCGGTGAGCTCCCCAAACTCCGCGTCCGTGGCACCCTCAGGACACGTCGCACCATCGCGCCTCGTCCTTCGGTGGGATGCCCACCAGGCCCAAGCGCTTCAGTCGCCTGGAGGTACGTGGCGCGCGCCTCTCTGGCGGGAAGGGCTCCTCTAGATCACAGGCTGTTTTGGGACCCCTACCGCCCCTAAAGGGGTGGTGAATGGACACCCCTTAACCTCCAAGGAGGTATTGTTAGACATCCCTGACGGGGAGTTCTGCGCACCTGTCACCACAATGGTCCACCTGTTGGAGGTGTCCAGGTATTACTTTCAAATGGAACGACCTGATGACCTGTCGTGTCAAATCCGGGTGGTCAAACGGGATCAACGGCGATTGAAATCCGCGGGCCAGGAAGCCCAACGGCGCGGCGCATGGAGCGATGGAGCGATGAGCGAAGCCCAAAAACCGTCGATCCGCCCTGGCCTCTGACCGCCCCGGCCCCCCAAATCCATCCTGGAAGCGTCCCGTCTCCAAGGATCCCCACTCGGGTCCCGATTCCCGGGAGGCTGCGCGTTTTCGAAGCGTGGGCGTCTCGTGCCTGGCCGCGGAATCCAGAAGGATAGACCAGGAAGCGAGAGGAACCCCTCGATTGTTGGGGGAGCCACGGGGGGCCGGATCACGATCAAGCAGGCAAGTGTCGGGTAGACTGGGTACCACTATAGGTACCACAAGAAGGTATGCAGCTCTTGCATGGTGTTTTGAGCATTTCTGGTAGGTCTTGGTGCAAGTGCCCCCATTCCACAATGATTGGCTGTCCAGGAAGCCGGGAATATATTCCTGCAAACACAAGAAAACAATTTGTATTCTAAGTTCCGCCAGATGCTAAGTCCAACAAAGGCATTGAAACGACTTGCGAACAAAGAAGTCTATATTATCGGATTGATGGCCGATGTGCCAGCTACAGAGCAGTCTGGCCTATCCAGAACTCACACATACCTGCTCGACCGACCAGAAAAGTACAGCCCCCGCCAGAACTCCTGGCGAAATCATGCCAAAGACCCTGTTTGGCAAAACCTTTTGTTGAGCCAGTCTGACTAGCGAAAAGATCGAGGTCGCTCCCTCGAGGTCGCGCGCGAAATAGCGCGCTGGCTCCAAACCTTGATGAAACCTGGTGAAGCCTTCCTCTACATTGTACATCACAGTGGGCCACACAAAACTTCTCTTCTCTTGCCACCTCTCAATCCTCTTCCTTTCCTTCCACTTCTGTCCACTTCACTCCCCCCCCAATGCAAAAAAGAGGTTCAGTGATAGTCTATAGGGCCTATGGGATCGTCTAGAGTCTATAGTATAGGGTTCTTCCACCTCTGGCATGCCACCCCCACCCCTCTTCATCGCCCACCCCACCCTCCATCGCCCGCGCCGGCCGCACCTGGCTCCACGCGCCTGGCTCCCCGGGCTTCCTGGACCACGTGGCCTGGCACAGGTCGAGCGAGCTGGTCAAGCTAGCTCCCCCAACCTGGTCGTTTGGATCCAGCTGTGTGTACACCTTGGACTCACAGGTGACCTTTTGGTGTGCGTTTCTTTTTTAATGCAGGGGGCAGTGATCAGAGTTGTACGTACTTTTATCTTCAGTGCATGGTTCGTTTGTGATTTTTCTTTTTTGGTGGAGGTGTTGTGCTGGAAACAGAGTGGTTGTTGTGTTTTTAAGCGGTAGATAGAGTTTCAAAAGGACCCATTGTTCTGCCAAAATGGACCATATATACTAGATACAGAAATCATTGCACGGTAACGTATATAAACCTGGTTTCCTTTCGTGGCCTCAGATGAGTCTCAATCTGAAGCAAAAATGCTTGCTGATGGAAGTGGTGCATTGGTTGAACTATGCATCTGAAAGATTGTTGCCAGGTACCAGTTCTGCTGCTCAGCTTCGAGCTTCACGTCCAAACCTCCCCACCAACTCTGACGAAAACCAATGAAATCGCTGAGTCCAGAACACGTGTTGGATTGGAAAATAGAAGACATGGAACAAACACGGATTTGGACAGGACAACTCTGGCAGCATCAGTTTTTATGTGGAACAAGGAGTGGATACAACTGATATACCCAGGAAGAGCCAGAATGAAAACGTCCGAAACATGTGAACTCACCCCATTAGAGGCCCAGTGGACTAGCCAGGCTGTTTACGTCAAAAAGCAACACTCACCAAATACTCACAGTTCTTCACACACCCTCACTTTCCACAAGGACTCATGGAAAAATTGTGCACTCTTTTCCCCAAAACAATAGAAAGAGTCATTTTGACCTGTGCAGACCCTCGCCATTATACGAGAACTGTTTTTCTCAAATGAACCCAAACCAACCAGCCATGATATCGAAAGCGGATGGATATTCTGACGGGTGCAACTCGCAAGGATTGAGGAAATGGATCCAAAATACATCTTCATAGTTCAGGTTCATTCCCTCATTCCCTGTATTTTTTGGGAAGACCCCTCATTCCCGCCCTTCCGGGGTCGACCAGTCTTCGCAGGGTGAAGTCGAAGCATTCCAAAAAAGATGCCTTGACTGAACAACCATGGTTTTATCCCCACAAACATGGGAATGTGTCGTCGTTCCGGTTTCTTTTCTTCCCATGTCATCCGAAGGTTGTACTAAGGATTTACACGACAAAATCAGTTCAACCATGTTTCGCCCAGTTCAACCGACTTGGGATCCGGATCCGGCCTCGGTCGCGTCCGGCGGCTGGTGGCCGTCCTGGCGGTGCCGCCGCGAGACGGGAGCGGTTTGGCGGCCTCTGGGGCTGTGTTGATTCGAAGCTATAGGAAACCCTGGTTGGTCCATCCAAAACCTCGTTCTTTTTCCGGAAGACCAGCAAAACATGGTGTTTTATGTGAAAATCTGTATGTTTCATGGGTTTGAGGGCCGCTGGCAGAATGAGTTTAAGGGAAAGTATACAGAAACATCTTCGGGAAACCCATAGGATCATGGGGAGCGAAAACGCAATCTGCTGGATCGATGTTCCCTGCAGACCCATCCATTCAGGATGACATGTTTCTGCCTTCCTCATGGAACGTGGGCGGTTGGCCTAAGGGCCAGAGCCCAGGGCGACCACCTAAGGGCTCGGCCCAAACCGGATCGGACCACCTGGGGATTGGGTCTCCCTATATGTGACTGTGGTCTGGCTGCCAACGTCGGAATCTCGGAGTTTTCGCCGAACATCGCCTTCCTTCCACAGCATTGAAGACATGGCAGCCAGACCACGTCCCGACCACGTCCTAACATCGAATGAAGGCCTTTTGGCCACCCCAAACCGAGGAGGTGAGCTTGTCAAGCCTGTGGTGATTGGTTGATCGTGGCTGAAAAAATCGCACCGAAGGATTTCTACAGGCACCATCCAAAGGGCAAATCTAACCACCCAACCATCATAGTCAGCGTTTCGCGGCATCCATCCCTCTTTCTCTCCCAATCCAAGCCCAGCCCTTCTATCACAGCCGACCGAAGACGAAGGGTCCCCAGAGGCTTCCCCTTTCCTTCCAACCCGCCACACATTCCCTTCGCGCGCGTGCCGGGGAAGTACGACGGATAGGACCCGCCAGCCCCAAACCACGCGACACGCCACGCGTGGGACGCGCCACGCGGGTCGGGCCGATCACCTGGACTCACAGCTGGGCGAAAGCTTCTTTTCAGACCTTGGCGACGCGACGCGGACGACTCGCGGTGCGCGGCGCGGGTCCGGTGGATCGGAAGCCAGGCGAGAGGCACGACTGGCGACCGGTATAGGGCGAGGGGGTGGTGCATGGACACCCCGAATCACCTCTTGGAGCTATGACACCCCTTAGGGCCTTGGGGGGCCCTTTGGTACTGTAGCGGTGTGTTTGTTCGATAATCGAGTGCTTTTCATCTTGTTTCATGTGTTTCGATTCGAAAGGGTCCAGATTCTGAGACCCTTGCTCTGGTGAAACGCTGAGCGTTGGGAGTTGCCTCTAAACCTTCTAAGCCACCCTCTGGCGGTTGCCTCTCACACACGCTTTTGGGTCAGAAACGACCTCCTCGCGATCTGGCGGTGGTCTCCCAAACAGAAAGGAGCGGGCTCCCCGGCGGTAAAACACCTGGGGGGTGAAGAAAGGAAGCGAGCGGTGCGAGAACGTGGCAAGATTATGCCTGCATGCAACAAATTGAAAAAGTATTCACCATGTATGATTCACCTATCTGACCTATCTATAAGATCTATAAGTGTGAAGGAATTCACCGCAATCATTGAATCATTGGTCTTGGCCTAAGTAGATCAATAACAGGTTCGACAAGAATCTTCCAGGACCTTCAAAGTGACCTTTTTGGAGTCTCTAAGTGACAGGACACAAGGCAAAACAGGGTCAGATCCTAAGGTCAGCTTGCCACACCGTCCACTCTCCGATTACAAGGTGCAAAACGAATCCCCGTGCCCCAAGTGGTAAGTTGTTCTGTCCATTTTCCGACTGGCGTCCATATGTCCCCCCATGGCAGTGAAAACCCCTTTCGCAGCACCTGAACTGGGCGGAGGATGCGCCTCGGCAGCGCTTGCACGGCGCTTGAAAGTGCATTGTGGGCGATGTGTCACCAGCAGAATGAGAGGCTGGGTTCAAAGCAGCATCATGTATATAGGTGTGGATTCCACGAGGGAGACGCTGGGTTTCGGTTCGAGAAATAGACCAGTCAGTCTACCCAGCCAGGGCCAGCAGGGGGGGGGTCCGTATTCAAATACACACCGATTCTTGATCATATTTTCAACCCCGGGTCTGACCGACCAGGTCTATACCCAGCCACCCACTCACACCAAAAGCGCGAAACCACACACCTCTCCCATTCCAGGGTGCGTGGCCTGTACCCCTCGGACCCCGAAGCCGATTGCACCTCTGCTGTCCGCCACACGCTTGTTCGCCGCGCCGGCCCCTGCCTCGTTGGCGCCCTTGGCAGGCTTCATGGGCACATCGTCTAACCTCGGAGATGGCCGGATCGGCGCCTCCGGTGATTTCGTCCCATTGGCTGGTAAAGAGCCAGGGATCATACGGGAGATGTGCAGGAGAAAGCTGGCCCCACCGATGACGCGACCGTTTCGACGGGCGCGTTTCCAGGCACAGAGAGCTGAGCGGACACACCGTGCGCGTTTTTCCGCGCGAGCACCCGAGTGCCACGAGTGTCATTCACGCCACATCCCTCGTGGACGGTTCCAAACATCAATCCTGGAGTTTGTAGAAAGGAACCTTCCAAGCCGGCGGCCCTCTCGAAAATCATGGTTTTCACATACAAAACCATGTTTTTGCTAGGGAAAACCTGCTAGAAATCTCCTTCCATGATTCTTGCTTGCACCATCCCAGCTCAATCATACAGGCCTTACTGGACTGCTGCTCCCCACGGGCAAAAATCTTTGATCTTGGCTGTTCCAGAGTCTCAGAGTCAGCCGACGGCACACTCACAAAACCACTTTTTTGCATTTGTTGCCCAAAAGAAAAATCTTCAGACACCCTAAGAACATCTTCAGACACTCTAAGAATCCTTGGACCTTCTCCACCGAAACGCAGGGGGGGAAACCGGACCGAGTTCCCCAACCAGACCATGCGTTGCGTGTCTTGGCCCTCTGAGCCCTGAATGTCTCAACAACTCTGAGAAAAGCACGTAGAAGGCCTAGCCCGCCCTTCAAGCCCTTCACCCCACGTGATTCTCCAGGTCTGCCCTGGTCGACTCCGACTCGGGCTGCCCGAACATGCGGAGGGCCTCCCGGTGCAGCGACTCGGCGAGCGAGGCCTCGGGAGTGACGAAGACATGGGATCCGTGAGGTGAGAAGCAGCACAACCGACGTGTCTCGTGTTTCGTCAGATGTTCCCATGGTGGTTCGCATCAGATTCACCTATTTGGGGGGAGTTCGACTCGCCTCGGAGGTTCATAGGGACCAGGGACTGACTCTCAGACACACCCGTGAGTTCCCGTGGTTTTGGATGTTTTGCAAGACAGGGACCAGGGGCCTTCGAACGTTCGACGTCTCTGCCGAAAGGGAAGAGCTGGGCAGTCAGATTGAAATCTCTGTTACGCACTGTTTAGTCGAACAGGGTAAACTATGTAGCACTTCTAATGTGAATTCGTCAACTTTCTTTTGGCACCACAACCAAGTACGGTCGGTATCTTTTCTTCAACCTGCCTATTCAATCTGCCAGACAGCTGTGCTCTTTGGTGTCCTTGACAACACAGCCTCTTGAAAATACCCATGTAGGATCTCACGTCAATCATTCATCGGTCACCCTTTGCTCCCAGTGCTGAGGATCTCACCACCAAAGGATGCCGGGTCCGCTTCACATCTTTCTCAGCATCCGTCTCCTACCGAAGAATTGATTGGCGAAATGCCGAAAACTTGACCCATGGAATCTTCGAGGACCAGCTCCCACGAAAAGGGCCGCAGTTGATGAAAGCTGGGTTGAGAAAGCAGGAGATCTGGCCGGAAACCCGTCATTCTCAATCGACCGAACTCGTGGGGAGACCAAAGGACACAGAAAAAACGAAAGTAACCTACTCAGCTACAAATAGGAATTCAGTAGCTCGTTTTAGGTAGCTCTACTCAGCTACTATACTCGCCATACTCACTATACTCACCTACTCAGCCACTCGTTTTTTCGAGAGCGAATTGAGTATCGTGAAATGTAATTACGTCATTCAGGAAGCCTGCAGCTGTTGTATTCAAGCGAGAAATCTGTGTAGAAGTCACAGGAGAAGTCCTCTCCGAGTCCAATCAACACGCTACTGAAGTAAACTTCTGCATCGCAATCCTGAAAATAGGTGGGGGTCAGAACTAGTCAGAACAACGATCTTCGAAGCACCGCACCACTCTACAAACAAGGGGGGTGGTCCACTCCACTTCCATGTGTCTTGGAGGGAGGATGTTCAAACAACCTCGAAGGTGGCTCGCGCTTTGACCGTGTTAATCGCACACGGCACGTGGCTTTTAGCCGGGTACCGATCGCGCACGTGAAAACATCAGCGCTCACGGGCGGCCGTTGAGTCAACGGCCGGTATGGAGGGAAGAACCCAGGGCTCCTGGTGGAGGTGACTAAACCCTATAGGGCTCCTGGCCCATCTCCTCAGGTTCGGTGGTATGTGACCCCCATGGCACGAACCACCCGAACCACCTGACCTTCGAAACGGAGGTCGGCCAGCAACCCAAAATAACCCAAACGGGACAACATGAAGAGAGCCTCCCCCCCACACGTCACCCGAAACGGCGAACTCCGGCACCATCCGGACCGGGAGAAGCGGAGGGCTTACCGGGGTGGCCGTATACCGGGCACGGTGGCCAGGACGGCACGTGGGTTCGCCCGCCGGGGAGCTCACGAGCGGTCCGTCCGTGGCCGGAGCTCCGTTGCCCGTCGTCCTCCGTTTTCAAGGAGTGGAAAATGCCGCGGAGCTGAGCCTCGCAGCTGGGCGGAGCTGGAAGCGTGCGGGAATTTGGGGAGACCGGTAGACGCTGAAGGGCCGAGAAGGGAAGAAGCATCAAGGTCCAGGCATTCTCGAGAAGGGTTCGTTCCCGGGTCACATAGGGTGTGTGTTCTTCAGCATCCGGGTGCAGCTCTAGAGCTCAACCCAAATGTAACCGAAGGACAAGACCTTTGGGATAGATTCAGAAGTGCCGCCAAAGGATCGACATGTCTCAATAAGTTTATGTCCTTTTGCATGTCAACCCAGTGTGCACGTGGCTTCTGTTGTGGCAGATAGCTGGGGGGTCGTCTTCTTTGCGGAAAAAAGAAGCAGAGCCCAGCATGCCCAGCCAACTCCTTTTTTCAGTGCTTATGGAGCCCAGCCAACTCCCCTTTCCTGACAGACCCAGCCAACGACCCCCTTGGAAGAAAGACAAATAGACTCGAGGGGCCCACGGTTTTGAGGGCCACCACTAAAACAAACGCGTGAGAAAGTGCTGGAACAACAACAACAACAACAACGTGTTACAAACAATGATGCACTTCAAAGGTCCCGCCCTTCCCATCCATCCGGCGCAGTAGTGCCCTCTCCCATCTCGGCTCCCGCCAGAGCGGAAGTCGCTCTACCCGTCTGCTCTACCCATCTGAGTTCTCCGCTGTCAGCTCTCGCATACTATCGCAAAGGGCCTCGGACGCGCCGGCGCTCGACCCGGGCCTCCGGTGAGTGGGCCTTGGGGGAACCGGTCCACCGTACGGTAGGTCCAGACCACCCGCAGAAAGAGAAGACCATCAGGATCTCAAAAGGCTTTTCCAGAAGGACGATGGGGCCGGGTTAGTTAGTTGGCCTTTCTATCCCTAGAATCGTGAGTTGCTGGTTGACCCTTCCTGCTACAGGTGTCCGAGGACAGAATTCCATCAATCGCCAGGGCATTTCCCCCCGAAGGAGCCGAGCCCAAAAACCTATTGGTGTTCCCGGGCCCTTCCAACCAACCAAGGCCTCTCCAACTGGTTGAAGAACCCCTTTTGCACTATCCCAGGTGACGTGTCCTTTTTCGGGTCACGTAATAACCTCTCTTGGCTGGGCCCAAGCATGAGCTGCAACTGACCCCACGTATCCCAGACACTCCATGGATGCGATATTGGCCGACATTCGGGGCGGTTGGGGGGGAGTGAAGGTAGGCATATACCTGGATCGTCCAACTGTGCAAGGTGTCTGCCTGTTCATCAAAAAGAGACAGCCCAAGGCATGTGCACAGTTGGAAGATCCAAGTATGGCATATATGGAGTGCCGGGCACTGCTCGAGTTCATCAATCGGCAGAACTTCCCCTTATGGCATGGGGTCAATCTATGTGGGTTGGCCTGGCGGAAGCGGGCTAACCCTGGAGATTCTGTTTTTTCACCCATGGCGCAGCAGACCCATCAGATCAAGTGGAAGAGTGGTTCCAACAAAACGAACTTGAATCCTCTGTTCGTCTTTAGAAAAATCTGACGCCCTTGAATGTGAGCTCAGAATTCTCAATTATTGGCAGTCGTATCTTTGCACTTCCAATTGCAAGGAACTATGACGATGTGCAGTAATTATGTCTTGCCAACGGGCAGAATTCCAAACATGCTCATAGTTCTACCCAACAGAGTACAAGGGAAGCAAGCATGGAACCGATGAAGGACAATCATGGACGATCAAAGGAACCAATGAAAATAAACGGTTGAGATCTGAAGTCTGGGAGCTTGACCATGGCTTACTGATTTGAGTGTTTCTGCTGCTGACTATAGGATTACTGTACCCGGTCGCCTTCAAAGACATTAAAAGAATGGTTGTCCTTCACCTCCCGCATTTCCGACACTCGGCTCTGCATTCCGACCTCCAACCCCAGCAGAGCCCGGTGCTCACACGGCCGGGCAGGGGCCCAGAAGTCATGTGATCGCAGGGTTTTTCCTGGAAATGCCATCGCAAATGCAGGGTTTAGGGTTAACCCTTTTCAGCGGAACTGCGCAAAAACCACCTTCCTGGCGCCCCAAGATTCGCGCATGGACCACAGGTGCTCAGTGTGAAACTCATGACGAAGTAGAACAGGAGCTCAGTTCCGGCTCCAGCTTCCTTCCATCAAAGAAATCAACAAGGCAGTGGCCGTCCTCCAGCTTCTGTCAACAATTGCACAACTTTGCGGTGGCCCTTCATGGCTGCAAACGTCAAAGCAGTTTCTCCGATTCTGTTTGCTGCATCTTTGGTCAGCTCCGTCAAGCTTTTGAGCTTTTGTCGACAATGGCGCGCACAACTTTGCGGTAACCGTTCTGGTGTGCAATCATCAAAGCAGTTTCTCCATTTCTGTTCATGACATCTTTGTCAGCTCCTGCCTCCAGCAACATTCGCACAACTTTCAAGCGATTGTTCTCAGCTGCAAACATCAGAGCCGTTTGCCGATCTTGCGTTGCTGCATCTTTGTCAGCTCCAGCCTCGAGCAACAACCGCACAACTTCCAAGTGGCCGCTCTCAGCTGCGATCATCAAAGCTGCTGCCCCAAGTCCTTTTGCTGCATCTTTGTCAGCTCCAGCGTCTGTCAACAATTGGACAACTTTGCGTGAGCCGTTTTTGATTGCAATCATCAAAGCTGTGTCTCCGAATCTGTTTGCTGCATCTTTGTTAGCTCCAGCCTCGAGCAACAATCGCACAACTTCTAAGTGGCCATTCTTTGCCGCAACAACCAAACCTCCACCATTTGGGTCCTGCGGTCTTTGAAGCAGCCTTTCAACATCAATCAGATTGTTTTCTCGACAACTGACAACTAGTTCTTCCTCCGCAATCTCATCAGAAACACAGAAAGGCAGAATTACCAGCTGTACAGACGGCAGTGGTCTCAGAGGCATGTCATCCTGCAGTTCGACTTCGTCACTGAAGAGTCTTTGCTGAAACCTGGAGCACCCAACTTGAAAGGAGAGGAGTTGCTTTAGATCACGAATGGATTTCCCACGTTCCACCATGTAAAGGAACTCATCCTCATCAAGCTCGGCAACTGTTGTCCCGGATAAAGCCCTGACCTGCATCATTGAGATTCAGAAGCGAGCGATACCAGCTTGAGCCATGGTCTTCAGTTCAAGTCTGCCAAAAAAAATGAAAGACTTAAAAATAAAAATAGATTATTTTTAAAAAAAAAAAAGAGTTCAACAACTCTGTTGGAGGGTCCAGAGATGTTTCACAAAGTATCCAAGCAACATGATTTCATGAAGATCATCTCTATTCAAACTGGATTGGTCCTCTCCACCGCTTAGCCCGAACGCAAAAGACCACCCCGCGCGCTCGCTCAGCTCCCGGACGACCAACGGATGGCCCGAGCTCTGATGGTCCACATCCGGGTCCTGGCGCGAAGGTACGCGATCGCCACGGCACAAAGAGAAACGGCAAGTGGCGAGGGTCACCCTCCAGCCACTTGGTGGTTCACTGCATGGTCGAAAAAGCGACGAACGCCTCCGGCGGGGGTAGAGGACGCGACGAACGGAGCTCCTGGCCTCGGGCCATCGCGACTCGAAGCGGAGCGATCGGGACGCGGACGCGAAAGGAGCTCCTGGCCTTACTAGGAGCAAGAAGCTACAGCAAAGGGCATCGCTACTGTTTCGCCATCAATCTTGATGATCTCATGACTCTTCCAGCCACAAGGCCCAAGGAAGGCCCTTGCCATGGCGGCCCCCATGGCCGTGGGCTGGCCACGCTGTTCGCGCGCGCCCGCGCGTTCGCGCGGAGGTGACCACGTCAGTCCTCATGACTGAGGGAGTGGTAAATCCCACGTAAGTGGGCCTGAATTGGAACGAGCGATGACCACGGCGATGACACAGCGATGACACGCGTCGCGTCTGGGCGTGCCCGACCCGATGTGCTGCCCAACATGTGCCCGGAGCAGGTTCTGTGCAAATGAGGGCTTGCGACTGTTGCTTGAGGGGATGCTGTTCCCAGGGGGGGAAGGGTGGGGTCCGTGCCAGACCTTCTTCATCTTCATGATGCTCTGACCCCCAAGAAAAAACTCAGAATATGTTTTGGATATATGAGGTTCTCATCCAGCTTCTAGGTTGCCCCTCGAATTGCTATAATTCAGCATGAGACAAACCATGGCCTCCAAAGACCAAGATCAAACATCACTTCAGCCAGTCACTGAGGATGCGACCGTCAGTTCGCGCATGTTGTCACATAGGGCCTGCCGTGCTGTGAGAATGACGGCGACGGACTTGGATCATCCTGAGAAGGCTTCCACCAGATGGCTTGGCTCCAATTGTGTGTGTGTGATCAGATGCTGTGAGGAACTACTCCCAATCTGATGAAACTCTCTGATCTGTCTTGGTGCATTTCTTTGGAAGAGAAAGGTAGGCAAAGCGAGCTCTCACTTCACCCTGCAGTGCACCGTGGGCATCACGGGCCCTCCTGGACCCCCTGCAGGTTCGACTTCACCACCCAAACCGACGCGTCGGACGGGTCCCCATGCACTCGCAGAGCTCGCTTGGCCACCTTTCTCACCATCAAAAGACCCACAAAGACCCATGGTCTGCACTGACCAACGTCACGTCATGGAAAAAGAAGACGTCGATTTGGAGTTGCCTGCGGACTGCTGCTCCGAGCCCTCGCCAGGCTCGGCTCCGTCCGCGTACCACGCTCCGACCGGCACGGCGCCACGGCGGGGTTCGGCCTGCCCAGCAGGATCCACCTCAGGTTGACCAGGTCTCCGGGGCGCCGGACTCCGGGGCGCCAGACGTCCAGGTCCGTGCGGGTTGTGCCTCCTGTGGTTGGTGTTCCTTCCGGGACTGCCCGGAAACAGGTGTTCTTTTGGTTCGTGCGCTTGTTGTTTTTATTGATGTTCTTTTTCGACAGGAGAATTAAAACAAGAGCTCCCGTCCGCCGACGTAAAAGCAGTCTGGTTTATGAGGCCTTTTCCATCATCTACATTAAGTGTATAAAGGCTTTTTGACGTGGGGCACCTGTGAAACTTCCTCAAAAGAACCAAAACACACACGGGCTGAAGACCCATCTCTGACCCGTGGTCCGCCACAAACGGATCCAGTCTGAGACCAAACCGTTGAATGCTGCTCCCCCTGGGAGTCCACTGTTTTGACCCGATGTCAAGAAGTAGGAACTTCGCTTCGGTGCTGATGTCTGTGTTCTTCACTGCACTTCTTCTCTCGGTTGGGCAACGGTCGGCCAGATGGAAGAACCTCCCAAGCTCCCAGTCTTCCCATCTCCAAGCTCCCAACAGGCACATCCCATGCTGTTGGATCCTGGAAGGAGACTGCACCCAAACCGGACCCGTTGACGGAGCTTTGATGTCCGGTTTTTGCTGTCTGCCCAGAAAGCATCAAACCGGACCTGTTTCCGTCTATAGTCTGCAGCTCTTTGACCCACCCTGAAAATGGTGTGATTTGGACCCTTGGTTTGGTGGTCTTTTCCACTACAGCTCGCAAACACAGGACACTTCTCGATGCACTGGCCCGCGACGGAAACCAGCTGGGTCACCGTCCCAATTCAATTGCTTGTGTGCAGTTCCTGCCTCTCTTCCGAAGCTGAATGGTTAGTCTTGGGATATCCGGCTGAATGGGTTGTAGCCCAAAACAAAGTGTCAATGGTCCTCAACATCATCGCAACTTTTGCTGACAGTACTCGTCCGTAATTCTCCGATGTTGTTTGCAGCCAGCATTGCAAATAAACTTGACCTCTTCCGCGGTTTGCACGTTTGCCCCTCAACCCCGGTCCTTGTCCTCTAGGCTCTCGCTCTCTGCCACAATCCTGCAAAGGGTCGCAACGGTGACAAGGCACTGGACGTGTAGCGACTGCAGGATCTATATGGATCTATGCTTCTTGACACCCCAATCTGAAAGCTTGCCCTAGCCTTCAAGACCCCCAGACGTAGCTACATCCCAGGACAAAAACCGCTGAGCAGAACAAAGCATCGCCCAGGGACAAGATGGGTTGCGGCATGCTACTCAGGGACAACCTCGACAGACACGAAAAACAGCCTTTCGAGATTCTCATGCGTCCCAAGTAGTGAGTGGCATGAGAAAAAAACCAAGGAGCATTTGCTACAGAACAGATCTGTCAGCTGCTGTGGGACGCATGTCAGCTGTCATTCCGCTCGCCCTACCAGTCGTTCGGCTTCGGCTTGGCTTGGCTTCGACCTTCGGGCCGGTCGGCGGCGGAGCCCGGTGGCCGGTGTGGTGAGGCCCCGCCCTCCAATCCGCCGCTGGGCCGTCTCGACCCGGTCCTGCTCGGTGGGCAGAAGGCAGTTGCATTGGCCTGGAGTCGAAGGAGTCGGTGCGGCAGTCTGTGGAGATCGTGGACCCCGTGGACCCCACGTCTGTTGACTGAGCAAAGTCGAAACACGTGCAAGTCCGGGGTGCGGAACGAACGGAGGAAGTCAAGTGGGTGCCCCTGTCACATCCACAGCCCCTGGATAGAGCTAAAGACCACCCTTTGTGACTCCTGGATTTGGGGAACATTCTGTCCTTTTAGGGTTTTAAACAAAGAGCACGTTTGAGTCATGTCCAAACGACCGGAGGGTTAGTTTGTGGTCTCTCATCACATTCTTAAAGCAAGTGTAGAACTTGATTCGCCTTGTTTCACCAAACCCCTCTTTTCTGGACTTGTGCAACCTCTTCTTTTCTGGGTGGCAGTTTCTTCTTGTTCTCCGCCGTCTACCTTTGCAGAGTCCCATCGCCGCGGGCGGCGAGCTCGCTCGTGGCGTCAGGTCGACGCTCGTCGGCCCGACGACCGTCACTCCGCTGACCCGGAGTTAGTCGGGACGTCCAGTCCTGACCTCCGACCTTTTGGTCCTATTCTTCGAGTGCTTTTTGGGGATGTTTTTCTTGGGGTATGACGAAGGTTGGGTATTTCATGAGCTCCGGAACCCGGAACTGGTGGGGTATGAACTTGGGCTCCAGTCATAGACCTCCGTTTCGGTTCCAATGGGAGAGGGGGCCCCGGGTGCCAGGTCCAGTCACACCGAACCTGAGGTTCGGTACAACACCTGAGCCCCAACGGGATAGAAGTCGAACGTCCGACCCTGTGCAACTCTGGCCATTCCTTGTCCATCGCCATCGCACCGATGGACTGGTCAGCGCCCCGCCACTCAGCAGGACGGAGGAAGGGGGGGGGTGGGGCTCCAACTGTGGCGGTCTTTTCCCTTCGATCGGTGCGAAAACGGCCCAACACCCACAGTTTCCTGCCACGAGACATGGACATCAACCACCAAGCGCTCAGAACAGAACAGACCATTTAAAGAGAATGGCGGGACCTGGTGTGACAAAACAGCAAAATCCTTGAGAAAAACAGCTTGGTTCGGTCGAAAGCTATTCAACCAATGGTGGGCATGGTTCCAGCCCTAGGGTACCAGGGTATACCAGGTGTCTACAGGTTTGTCCCTAACGTGGTCGTCCCAAAGCAACCACTTTGTGAGGCTCTGAGCATCACTCATCTGCAAAATCTAGTGAGTCTATGTATAGGGTCTAGTGGCCCAAGCGAAGTGCATGTCAGCACCTTCTTCAAGTGAACTGCAAGAAGAATATGCGTCTCGATTTGCAGGTGACCCACTTCCGCGAGCCGCCATTTCTCCCCTCGCCCCCGCGTGGACCCCATTCCCTTTTCACCCGACCCCCCCCCGCCCTCTGACCGCCTGAAGTCCGCCCGCGTTCCACGCGCTCACCATCGGCGGAGTGAAAATCTCGGTGAAAACCAAACAATCATTGATCCTTCAGAGCCGACACCATCGCAAACATGGTGGAGATGTCCATCACCGAGTCACCAGTCCAAAGCCGTGAGAAGCCGGTCCGGTGAGCGTGTGAGCGTGAGGTGTCGTGGCGTCCGGTGTTTCGGAAGGTCCAGTCAACTACCAGCACCGAAACCTGCCAGGTCTCCTAGCCTTGGAGGGTTGGGAAGGGCCCGAATTACAGGTTTCAATTGGTGACCTGTTGGAAGTCCAGTCTATTTGTCAAATGGTCTGACGCGGTGTTCCCATGTCAGGAAGGTCCGAAATCCTGTGGGGCGAAAGATAAGTCGAACTGGACTTCTACCTGCTACCCTGATAGATACCAATTCCAGTCCAGTATGCTAAAAGATAGCTTTTTACAAGTTCTTGCAACATCTACGTCCATCTTGTGAATTCACGTCCTTTTAAAAGCCTGAACGTTTTTTCACGTCCAAAGCCTGAACACTATTGATATTTTTGAGTTATTTGAGTGTCGTGCAATAGACCAAGTTCAGGGATTACGGTCAAACACGTCCCGGACAACAATTCTCGTCCTTGCATACCAAAAGACAACAATTAGCGACATGGACAACAAAAGGTGGTTATAAGGTTTAGCAGGTAGGGAGAATGTACCATATACCTCTTGATTGTAGATGAAAAACTCGGGCATCTCCTCTAAAAATTCATCAACCGTTAGGACGAAAAGTTGGAAAATACAACACCTTCGCTCCAGGGCGTGGCTTGATCCTACCAGGTGTGGATACAGGAGCTCTTCCTGGAAGTCTGGTGACGTCTGGTGCATTCAGAGACTCATCCAGAAATGCGCGAGGCGAGTTGGTTGAGCACTCCTCCCGATTTCGGTCTCGAGCGAGAGATGTACTCCAGCGGCTGAGCACGGGCGACTGACTTAGCCTTCCACTCTACGTCGACGTCAACCTACAGCGGAAATTGTGGCAGTGCGATGGCTCGAGGACACCGGGGATGGCGCCTCAGAGGCCCCCCCACTGCAACTGCACGCGTGGATCCCCATCAATTCAATGAGATGGCATCAGACTTCCAGCCCGAAAGTTCAGAGATGCCCCAGGTCCCATCCAGGTCCATCCAGGTCCCAAAGAGTGATCTGACAGCATTCATTTTTCCCAAGAATTCACTGGATTCTGTTTCTTGTGAATCTTCGAACTCAAAGCGGATGAGTCTCAGGATGAGGATTTATCGCTTTTGAGCTAGTGGTGGTTTGAACACCAAATCTCCTGGTCCTTACTCCTGCACGCAGGAGCTCGACTCTAATTACTGTTCTGTTGCTCTACTGCACCACGATGGCAAATGGTTACAGGATGTCTTCCATAATACCATGACCATAGGAAACAACCGTCATACACTTGGTCGTCCTGCCTGCAAAGAAGCGCTACCGTCTCTTTTTCGTCGCAAGCAGGTAGCGCAGCAAATTCATGTAAAAGCGGCTTGAAACAATCCAAAAACAGGGCCGATCCTCTTCCAGGTACTTCCTGTCCAGTTCAACCAGTGGTCACATCCCCTCTTGGGTGGTGAATCATCCCTGCACAGGAATGACCCGAGCTTCTGAAGCTGAGGATCTCAACTGCCCCAAACTGGGCCGCGAAAGAAAAAGAGTCCTTCGAGGCACAACATCCCCTTCGGGAGCCGCGCCCACGGAAGCCGGTCTCTACCAAGCCCACAAAAGCGCTTGCTCGATTTGGACGGAAGGTTGAGGGATGTTTGAGCTGAAGGTCGAGGGATTGAAAGTTCAACCACTTGGGCTCCGGGACGAAACCGGATCTGCAGGTCTCTTAGCAGGTCTCAAGCCTTCTATTGAAGCCTGTAAAGCTGTACAAGAAAAAATTCGGACCCTCCGCACCAGCGGTCAGCTTGGCTTGGAGGGTCCCAAACTTTATCCCATCCCTTTCCTCTCAAGAAGCACTAGCACTGCACAACTTGCAAGACGATCTGGAAAGGAAAGGGCTTAGGGATTCAACCACCTGGATGTGCCTCGCAAGTTTCGTCTCAAATTACCAGTACTTTCCACCTCCTTCAAAAGAGACACGTCCACAATGGTGGCTTCCCCTTCGGACACACCGGTGACGATCGGGTCTTAGAGGGAGTCAAAGCTACAAGCCTCTCAGATCTTCTCTTCACCGGCCTCCATCGGCACCGCGCCCGACAGCCCCGGAGCCGGCTCCACCTGGGAGGCGTTGGCACGAGAGGTCGACGTGCGGGTGCGGGTCTGCCCCGTGGCCGACTGACCCACAAAAGAAAAGAAAAGGAGCCAGGAGTCACGTTCCACCGGGGTGGTGTGGCTCGTCGTCCCATCCAGGGGCTGTGGATGTGACAGGGACACCCTTAACATCCTCCATGGAGTCCGCACCCCGTCGAACGTGACCGCTGGAGTGAGATCACATCGATCAGAATCATGAATCCTTCAAGAAAAGAAAACGAAAACCATCGACTATCGATGTGAGATGAGAGGATAGTGGTAGTGGTTTCGTGGTGTCTTGCAACGGTTGATGCAACGGTCGGACGGACCACCTCAGTTAGAGGATGCCACAGGGTGAGGGTTCGACTTCAGACCCGACGACGCCGCCCGGTTGGTCCGGACGAAGCCGGATTCCCATGCGATGAACAAGCCCAAGCACCTTGTTGCTGCTGCTTGGCTCCGAAAAGAGACCAAAACCATCTCTTTTGGAGGGCCAGGGGATGTTTGGGGGAAGCCAGCAAAAAGTGACACACTCCCGTCAAAAACTGTTCAGGGGTCCATGGGATCATCTAACCAGCGGGGTCAATGACATCCCCATCCCACTAGGACAGACTGAACTTGGGTGCGGGTCATGGGACCGCCTTGGGCACCCAGGTTTTGCTACATGGAGTGGGTCATGGCTCCAGGGTGACAGTGACCTCCATCTCAGCTGGCGTCCTTGGAAGAGCCCTGGAAGAGCCCTGCTCGCAGCTGCACACGAAGGTCACATTTTGGAGAGTCGACTCGGAGCATCTTGCTCCGAGGTCGCTCGTGTTTTGGGTGCTCGTGAACACGGTTAAGTGTATGGCATGGCCCCTCCTGCAGCCTGAGCCACATATCCGAGGCCACCCTTCAAGTTTCCTGGCAAACACAAAGAGTTTACACAAAAAGCAGATGTTTTGCAATGGGTCAAGGCACTGCAGATCATGGACCGGACAAAACGCTGAGGTCTAACAGTCTGGCCCGAAGAAAGCCATAAACGCACGGGATAAGAGGGCACCCTGTCACATCTGAAGCAGGTCTCTCTTGGAAATCTGCCTGCGAAGTTACAGGGGTGGGGATCTAAGTGCGGTTGGATCTTCCGAAAACCAAACAACCCCACTGACACCCACACCAGTCCTGAAAACCAGCCTCTATGTCAAGAGACTAAGCTTCTCCCCTATCAAACACACTCAGTCCTACAACCCGCGCGAAACCCGGCGAAAGAAACCGGGTCCTTTCACAAAGCGCCGAAAGCCCGCGGCGCCGGCGAAGCGGAAGAGCGGCACCACCTCCTGGCGCCAGACCGAAGAAGACCACGGGCGACGCCCTACGAGCGCCCTGCGGAGTGACCAGTGACCCAAAGGGGAAGAGAACAGAACCGACTCAGCTCGGTCGCCATCGGCCCTCCGCAGAGTCTCGATCTCCGCGGAAGAACCGATGCGAATTGAGGACTGCAGTCAAGAACTTCAAGGTTCCCCCAAGGTCAGTGCAATTCCTGATGGCAAGGACCATGACTCCCACTTCCATGCCGCGGTGGACTCCACTGTTGACTTGCTTGTAGAGGACTCAGATTCCAGATCGTGACACTCTTCTACAACCAAGACCTCCACCGTGTTCAGATTCCATCGCCGACGCCCAGGACGAGCGAACCACCAACCGAGAGGAGAGGCTTGGTTCGGTTCGAAGAGGAAGGAGCGGTTCCGCGTCGCTGTGAGCGAAAAAGGGGGAGTGACACAGAAGAACGCTTTGTTGGTGGCCACTCACTTTTGGGAGATGAACCAATTGGGGTCTTAACAGGGAATGTTTTCTCCTGGTAAAGGTTCGATCTTGATCCCCAAATCCTCTGAAACATACTCTCGAACTAACATGGAATTGGAAAAGCTCCTGTTTGTAGAGGAAAATTAGTCTTCCAAGCGCCTACGCCGTAGACGTAGATCAAATCATTCTGTTCAAAAAAAACGCTCCATCCAGTCCTCCAAGGTCTTCCCCTTGGTCTCCGGCAAGCAGGTCGCCTCACAGCGTCCCACGTCCGCAGAAAAAATGACGTCGGACCGATGTTTCTTCCAACTGGTGCAACCGTTCAGCCATTTTTCATCCCAACCAGCGCGGCAACGATGCAGAAATGAAGCCAGGAACGTTGGAGGATCCACCCGCCCCCACCGGGTGAGTGGAGAAGGAAGGTGTTGCGAAAGGCCGATCATATCATATCAAAACCAGCGCCCTAACAACCATGTGAGTGTTGGGCCAGTACTTCCAATGGCGCAGTACGACCGGACGGCGCGGCCCAGTTCCTCGTCGATCCCTCGGTCGAGCCGCGGGGGCGGTCCCCGACCGAGACGTTTTTCGGGCCGACCAAACGCGGCAACGGCGTGAGAAAGGGGGTCATGCCATGGGCGATCATGGCACCGGGACGGGGTCTTTTTTGCCCTCTTTTCCTCTTGCTCTTGCCGAAAACTCTGTTCGTGGCCGCTGCATGCAAAATGAATTAGTAATTGGCAAACTTCTCCGGGTTACAGAAATCTTGCCCCATCCCAGCCTCGAGGTCAAAAGAACCAATCAACTCATCACACACTTCAGAAAACCAATTGGGGATAGGCAGAACTTCGGCAACCCTCGGTTGGCTAGCAGCGAACACCCTTCCCAGAACCGCGCAAAAAGCAGGCGGATATTCTTTAAGATGGGTAGTTCGCCAATTTCCAGCTTCGTCCTGGCCAATGGAAATTGCCTTAGGCAGATCTCCTTGGCGAGCTTGCAGAAACATCTCTTCTGCTTCTGCGCAAACGTTGACGAAGAAAAGCTCAGTTGGTTTGTAGGACGTGGCTCCATACCACCCTTGAAGCACTCGGAACTTTCTACAGCACTCAAACCTCAGGAGGGTCCTCAGTACTGGAAGTTTCCAGATCGACGGTTGGCTGACGTCATCGACGTCTTCTGCCGGGCGCTCTAGGACGGCAGTAGCTCCGGTAAGTGCAGCGATATAGAGTAGCCGAATAGCAACTCCAAGCAATCGACTGCCAAATCGCACTTGCACATCTTCTCTATATTTGAGATCGAGCCTACCTTGAGGGCGGAGCACGGACCGAACTCGTCGTGGTCCTGGTTTCCCGTTGCGCAGCTGTCGCCCACGCGCACGGCTCCATGTCTCGCATGGTGGGCCCCCTAGGAGGCCAAGGGCCTCAACAGCCTCCTGGAAGTCTCCAGGCCTCCTTCTGCCCGAAAAAAGGTGCGCGAAGACAATTGGATCGTATCGAGGAGCATACCGACGCGGACATTCCATCCTCTCAAGGCTGCTGGCTGCAAGATCGAAAGTCTGCATAACATCGATATGATCTGCCTTCTTCCAAGTGCCTTCAACATCAACAACCCACTCGAGAGAAAAGAACTGGGCACTCTCCGCAAGTTGTAGACACTGCAGGGCAGTACAACATTCAGCGTCATGAACATGTTGTACAAATCGCTTCAAGATTGCAATCACCTCATCAGGATACAAAAAGGTAGTTTGTAGAACCCTCTTCAAGCCTGCACCGAAATCTAGGGAGAAAGGCGGTTTGACCACCTGCCCCAAGGCCGACCATAGCCTGTTCTCCTCAGCTTGCACAATCGGATCTCCAAGACCGTCAGTAGTAGCAAGCATATGCGGGCCTTCTGCTTGGAAAAAGGGTTCAAGAAGTGAGGGACAAGATGCATTCACGGCTCGGCTGTTAACCCCAGGTGCAGGGTCAACAATGCGAGGTTGGGCACGATAAAAGTCCATGCATTCTTGCCTCCTCTTGACATGGTTGGTCAAATGAATCTGCGATGCATAGTGCTTAAGGCACCACAGGCACTGGACCCCATGGACAAAGTGCCTGGCACTATTAATACGCTCGTGCTTTTTGAAGGCATGAACTGCCATTGCCGACCTAGTTTTAAACTGAAGCTGGCAACAAGCACAAAAAAAGGGTCTTTCGGGTTCGGCAGTATGCCCTTGGAGGACAATCCCGGAGGACTCCAGCTCATCAAGAATTTCACGGTGCCATTCTTTCCATTCATACAAACGGACCTGAGCTGCTTTGGTTCGGGCTGCTGCTCGTCGAACAGCCTGCTTCCAGGCACGTGGTCTTTGGGTAGCCCACTCTTCTACCTCTTGCCATGAATCGCTTAATCCCGAGGGGACATTGTCTTCAGGACAAAAGGCTTGCATCCATTGGAAGTCTTCGAGCACTCGACTTGTGCGGCTGTCCGGTGCGAACTAATTGCATCACATACCGCGCTCCAGTCAATGGCTTGTTTGCCATAGTGCAGGTTTGCCAGTCTCTTGGCAAGCTTCATGAATCCTTGGTCAATCTGTCTTTGCTGTTTGGCGGTTCTCGGATTCCATGTTGCAGCGTTAAAAACAATAGTGCTAAATCCCAAAGACAGGGTCATCTGCTTTTTAGTATCGAGTCCGAGCTGTCTGTTGGCAAATATTTGCGTCTCATACCTTGTGATCACATCATGGGCCACAGCGAATTTCTGACGTAAATCTCTGACCAGCGCACCTCCTCGTTGCAAAGTCGTGCCTAAGTGCTTATAGTGTCCAACTACATGCAAACAAGTTCGTCAGCGGTGGGGAAAAGAATCTCAGAAGCTGAATCGTCGTCGAGAGTGGAGTCGAGCTCCTGGATGTGGACCCGTGGAGGATGCCTGCCCAAAGCATCTAGGGCTGTGAGCGCCCTGCGGACATGGACTTCAATCTGGTGGATGCTGCTGGTGTACAGTTGGAGGTGAGGCTGTAGTGCTTCCGGTAAAGCTTGTTGAAAAGGTGTGTGGAGGAGTGGCGTCTCTGTGAGGGCACGGTGTGTGGAGAGGTGCTGATGTAGTGTAAAACGATGGAGATTGAGGTCTGTGAGGACGCCGCAAAGAACATTGGGTGGCTCCTGCGTGTAGACGGAAGCCCAAAAGGATGAGTCACTGGCTTCACTAGGCGGCGGGTGAGCACTCATTGCGGATGGGCGATAGGGGCCGAGATAACCAAAAGAACTAAAAGAATCGAAACGAACCAAAACCAAATGAAGTGCAAATGGCTGCGGAAATGGCACTATATAGTTCTGCAGCTCATGTGGTCTGAGAAAGAGTGAAAGGGTGCAATATGAAAAGACTTGCGTGCTATGACGAAGGAAGGTTTTTTGCGGCTGAAAGAAGCCGTTGTCGTGTGAAACAACGGGAATGGCAGGTTTGCCTCAGGGCTCGTGGTCGACAAGCATATTGGTAGCCGCTGCAGCAGCCGCGCGGCGCGCAATCCGCAGGATGGCAGTGGTGAGTTGGTTGGCTTGTTGATCTGTGAGTGGGAGTTCTGGTAGTGGGGGAAGGGGTGGAAATAAAGCTGGCGGTGCGGGCTGTGGTGGTGGTGGGACGCCGTGCGCCGGGAAGGCCGGCGGTGGTGCTGGATAAAGGCTCAGGCAGCAGCATCGACGACATCGCAAGCAGGTTGTCTGATCTTGTGAGATGCCTTCTGGCGTTGACTGCTCCTTTGCCTCGCAACTCGATGAACAGCTCGGTCTTACCTTTACTCATATTTGGGGTCAAACCCGCTGTGGCGAGCACGTGCAGCACCGAGTTGGCGACCTCTGGGATGACTTGCAACATGGTGGCAAGGGACTCATGCATGACAGCAAGCGAGATGTCGTCTGCCCAAATTGGCATCAAAAGGTCCCAAAAGGGTGTCGGATCCAGTACTCTCATATTGAGGCTTCTTTGCCCCGTTCCACTGAAGCTGCAGGAAAGGGAAACGGGCTATCAAGTCAGCCTCAACCTTTTTGAGAATCCGTGCCAACACGTAGCCGAAACACAAGTCAGCGAATGAGTCGCCTGGACGACTGCCCCTTCTTGCCCACGTCAAAGTTGGGTTGCCGGCGACTGCGAACCATGTGGTCTCGTAGAACTCACGGAACAGGCCAAGAAAGGGCTGACCGTCTCCTCCGACAAGGTGGGTCCTTCCAGAAAGTGCAGTCGGAACTCATCAAAAGCTTCTTTCGGCAGTGACAAGCTATCAAACAATTCTTGAATGCTTCTAAGGTCTTGCTTCGAATCGGTCAAATGCTTTCTCATAAGGCGGTAGAAAGCGTTCTGGATGTCGATAAATAAGACTGCGAAGCTCTGATTCTCTTGGATGGCGATACTCTGGCCCAGCATCAGTGCATGACTTGCCTGCGCGATGGTGTGACCTTTCAATCCGCCGATTTGCATCGGCAGGGCTGCATGAACGAAAAGTTGCCCCAACTCCTGCCTGTAAATGCCATGCAGAATCTTCCCAACTGGGCTGGACACGAAAATGCTACGGAAATTCGCACACTGGGAAGGATCGCCTTTCTTAAAAAGGGGAACCAAGCGGCCCCCTTTGAAGATAAGGGCTTCTTGCTGCCAGACGACCTGCTTCAGGAAAAGAGGGTAGAAAAGCTCTGCACATTGAGAAGCTGCAAGCTTCAAAAGATCCCCCGGAATTCCATCATAGAAGAAGGCCTTGTTAGCAGCCGTCCCTCGCATAACACGTTCGACCTCAAAGAGCGTAGGAACCTGATCCCACTGCGGGCAGAAAACTTGAGTTCGTGGAACTTGCTCATTAATCGCGATCAGCTGTGCAAGGGAGACAGGAAGTCCATCCTCCTGCTCGGCAAAGTGCTGCCTCCATCTCTCTGCAACCTGAAGATTAGAGTCCAGCACCTCTCCTTCTTTGCCACGAATCAACGGCAGTGGTGAGAAACAACCAGGCTTCTTCTTGCTTTTGACTCCCCATTGCTTGAGAGCATCTGCAAAATCTTTTTGCGACAAGGTTTTGGCCTGCTCCCCTAGTCGTTCCAAAGCAGCTGTACGATCTGCACGGAGTCCCTTACCAAGAGCTCTCAACAAAACCGCGGCCTTTCTTCTTGAAGCAAGAATCAAAAAGAGGTTGCTGAGGCTGTCCACACAAATACGCTGCATGTTCAGCGACTTGCAGGCTTTCCATGCTCTGACTACATGGTCCATCGTGCAGAGGATAGCACTGGAACGTAAAGTCTGAATCACGCTCCGAACTTGTAACCTCTCTTTTCTGATCTCCCAAGTGGCTTCACTAATATAACCCTTTTTTGGCCTGCTTCGACACACCGGAAATGCCTTATGCAATTTGGTAGAAAGCCATTGGGTGATCTTCATGGCGTGCTCATCCACACGCATGCCCCAGTCACATTCTGGAGGGTCAGCAAATAATTGTGCCAGTGGCTCCTGGCAGGCCGTCTGAAGGGCCTTTCTGTCGAAAGCCAACAAGCTTTTCGGATTTTTCACTCTTTGCACCATTGTCTGGAGTTCCATAGCCAGCGGGGAGTGGTCAACACTCTTGTTTCCAGCATCAAGGCATGTGTTGACATAAGTCGAAATGCTACTACCTCGCCAACTTGGGGAAGAATGAAGTAGTCGCAACGTGCTTTCGAACCATTGGCATTGCTGTACCACGTTTCTGACACTCCCATGTGAAACTCATCAAAGGCGCTCGGCAAAAAACCTCCAACCACCTCCAACAGCTTTAGAAGCTTAGTACCTGCGTAATTTGCCTTTTCTTCCAATCCACAGGAACCGGCAAGAGGTACATGTTCACGGTCGAAGTGAGCATTCGCGTCAAGACCTCCAACAAAACGTGGAAATTTTGTGCGCCAATGCCGTAGCTCATCCGTCAGCTCCTGCCAGAAAGCATCGTGGTGCTCCGCATTATGCCCAATATGGGAGCAAAAGGTCGACTCCTTTGTATTTGGTTCGCACAATCAGCTTCTCTGGTCCAGCAACCAAAACACGGATATCACCAGCATGAAAGATCGGTTGTCCCGACTTGGGATGCGCTCGCATCAACCAAATCTCGACCCCTCCATGGCCTTTTTTCTCAGTGCTGCAATCCTCCTCACCTTGATCGTCAAACCATTCCATCAAACGAACAAAAAGGCCTGACTGAATCTCAACATCATGACGCCATTCATACCTTCGATCATGGATATACGCAATACATACCGAAGAGTCCTCACACCGGTGCCCTTCGACTGCCAGGTCAAAGAGTCTGGACACCGAAAAGGGAGGAAAACTGGCATCAAACAGCAAGGTTCCAAAATTGACCCTCTGATTACGAGAAACTTGCATCAAAAGGGCATACCTTTCACAATCATCGGCATGATAGAGGATAAGGCTTGGAACAGCCTGCGACATAAAAACTGGAGCCGGTTGAATCAACTGCATGCACGCTTTCTCAGAGGTAGGGATTTCAGGCCAGAAATCTTCTCGAACGAAAGCCTCAGCTGGAGAGTACCTATGTACATATCCCACGAAGTCATCACAGAATTCATGCGAATGGAACCATGCATCAACAAAGGCCGTAGTTCCACATCCATGTAAGTACCTCCGAAGGTCTTGGTCTTCTGTTCGGACCACTTGCATAAGACTCGAAACCTCATGCACAGGGTCGAAATCTACTGGGCTTCCCCCCTTGAGACATTGCCTATCACAGAGAAGCGCTCTACGGCAAGAAGCCGGAGCAAATGGAGAAGCGACTCTCCAAAATGGCCTTCTATGCCACTGTCAAAATGGCAGGTGCTCCCTAGGATTCCACAAGGCCTTGAGAAACCTGGGGAAAACGGTCCTTCACCATGGCTCTGGTAGGCCAAAGGCGAAGCTTGCGTCGGATTACACTTTTGCACAACCTCAATGCATTCAGCCCCAACTACATTGACAAGGCAAAAGATTATCAACCAATTCCTTCCACTCGGTCTTCGAACTCTCACTTTCCTTCTCTTCGAAGCCACAACAGCGGCCCTGCCAGGAAAATCCAAGAGTTCATCTGCCCTCATTCTGGCCAAATAGGCTACCAACGCTCCTCCGAGTAGAAAGATGTGTGTCTTCCATAGAGAGATGAAAAAGGCACTCCCCCAGTGACAAAGGCTCTCTTGAGTTTTGATGCTTTCAAGAAGACACAAGTTGCATACACTTGCAGCGACTAGCGGAAGCAAAAACCTTCGAATCTGCTCACGAGTCGGCAGGACCTTCAAACGAAAGTGCGGAGTGATGAGCCACTCAAAAACCCCAAAAAGCTCCTGGCTCCAGCAAACCATACTGATAGCCAGTCCCAAAAGAAGGATCTGTTTTATCATCGAAAATGCAGCTTTCTCGAAAGGAAAATACTGATAGGCTCCAAACCACTCAGCAGAGAAAACCGCACCCCGAAGGTCTCCCAAATCCCAGATTCCGGTGAAAACATACATACTACTCCATGCCGTCAAGCTGCTGCCTTGAAAACTGGCGCACCCAATGACAGAAAAAGAGCTCATATCTAATCCATACCTCCAGAGCTGCCCAAATCCGAGAAAATCACAGAAGGCCTGTTCGCTTCCTGTGGAGGTGTGATCATCAGGTACGGATCCTCCCGCGTCATTGTGATAGGAAGTGCAGTACGGGTGAGCTGCAACCTCTCTTGCCCTGTTGGCCTTCCCAAATGGGGCCATGACTGGGTTCCCCAGATCCGGACCCAAGGGATTGATTCCTTTCTCCTTGTTCTTGAACTCCTCGAAAAGCGAGTACATAGCCTTGGTCGAACGGTACTTGTCTGGCTCTGCATTTTTCTTGTTCAAAATGGCCAGCTGTGCATTCTCTGAGAAATTCAAGAGAACTTCCTTCATCTCTTCTGGATCCATAGGCCCATCCTGCAAACCAGAAGCTGCCATCTCGCCGGGATCTTCCCTCATCGGTGAACGAGACCGACCTTCTCGTCTCTTCTTCTCCTGTTCTGGCTCTTGGCTCGCTTCCCTTTTCACTCGAATCTTTGGTGTTCGAGTGACTTGATCTGGCGATGTGGTGAGCCCTCCATGAGTAAGGGTTGAACCCTGCATTGCACTCACTAATGCCTGAACTTGCTCTGCCAAGCATTGATTCGTTCTTTCCATTCTCGTTGTATAAGAAGCCATCTGCTCCATTTGTCCCTTCATCGCCTGGATCTCCACATTCAGGGCCACGATACGAGGATCTTCGTCTGTCAAATCGACCGTGTAATCGTCCTCGTCGTTCTCCTTGCTCTTCTCTGCCTCTCTCAAAGCTTCTCGGACTTCCGCCATTGCCTGCTCGTGGCGCTTCTCCTCGTCGATGAGGCCCTTTTGGAAGCCCTCTTTCCAGGCCGAGAACTGCTTTCCATGCTTCTCCATCTCGTCCTTGATCTTGGCTGAGCGATTGAGGCATTTTCTTTCTTGATTCAACAAGCGCTGCTTCTCTTTCAAAGCTTCTCGAGGATCTTCTGCAGTCACTTTCAAGAAATCGGCCTCGAGCTCGGGCGTCCTCTCGCCCTGTGCAGCTTTTCTGATCATGCTCTTGAGCTTCTCGTTCTCTTCCTTGAGCGCCTTCTCTTGCTGCCAAGTAGATGAGGACTGCGATGAGGAGGAGTTTCCTCCAATTCTGACCTTCTTTCCGTCGTACCCGGTGAAAAAGGCCCCTTTGTCCTTCTCTGCAGCTTTCTCTCTGCCATTGCCGTTCTTCTTGGCCACCTTTGGCGGCCAATCCCAATACTGGCCCTGATCCCAGTATTCTCCTTTGTTCTGATATGACTGCTTCCTCCATGACATCGTCTGGCGATCGTATTGTTCTTGTCGTCGTCCACCACGAGCAAGGGATGCAATCCTGTAGGCAGGTTTTGTATGGTGAGCTTCAAGCAGTTGCTTAGCGCAAACCAAACGTTGCAGGACCTTAGTGTTCAGCACGAGCCTATTCTTGAAGGTCTGCAGTAACCTGCGTGCACGGCTTCTTCTGGCCCTTTCCTTCCGGTGCCACGATGGGCTTCCAGCAATGGCGGGGGCACAGAAAAATGGGCGAGCTTCACAGCTCTGGGGCTCTCGAAATTCTATCTAGTAGCTAGTCTTGAGCCCTGTCTTTTTTGCCCCACGAAATGAACCGAAGAGACGACCCCGAGAAGATGAAACACCGTCCCACAGGAGCTGGGGGCTCCAGGTTTTTGGACCCACGGCCAAATGTCTCTCATTCAAATCAACCACTGAAGCTGAAGGAATCCTTAGACTGAAGATGACTGAAGCTTCCATCAAAGTCAGCATCGTCCCGTCTTCGTGATCTGGCTGGCCCAACAACCTCCACACCAAGTCACCGTGAAAGGAATCACAATGAGGCAAACGCATCCGAAGAACAGAAGAGTTCCTGCACATAGAGCAGGCTGCAGTCTCCGCTGTTTCTCCCATCTGTCTAGGATGTCTAAACTCTAAACCCGATTTTGTAGCTGACCACATCAGCTTTTCTTCCTTCTCAATCAGCTGACAACATGGTTTTACCAAAACAACTCTCCAATGTCCGGCTAGTTTGTTGGACCAAGACGGCACAATGTCCAGCATATGATTTATAGACCAGCACCCGACAAGAACCAGGTCGACTCTAGAAAAAAAGGGGGACCTGGTATCCCAGCACCTGTCCATGGGTGACCTGGCGGTGCTGGGATAGATCTGTGGTTTTTACCTGGGTATACGGTATACCAAAGACCCTCCAACCTACCGTACCTCCAGGCCCCATGGACGAGGAGATCATCTGCGGCGTCAGGAAGGCGCTGAGCACGTTGGCCGGGCCCCAGTTCATGGCAGTGCAGAGGCCCACGGCCTTGCCTCGCACGCGCAGAGGCATGATCTCGGAGATGTAAAGCCAAGCTCCAAAGCCCCAGGAGATCCCAAAGGCGAACCTGGGAAGGGTCGGCGTCGGTGCTCACGGAACCACATGCAGAAGGTCGGAAGGTGGATGAAGGAGCCAAGTAGGTATGATGATATGATTCTGGTATGATTCTACATGGGCTTTCCTTGGTTTTTCCTTGGAATGTCCAGAGCTAAAGAAAGAAGGACTTAAATCATATGTATGGGTGCTTTCAAAGAAGCATGTAGATCACGATCATGGTCACAATGACGACGCCGGCAGTCTCATTGATGGTATCACTGACAGGGTCATGCGCCAGGAGGGCAATGGAGCCACCCACCAGCATGGTAAGGCACATGGTGATCATGCCAAACAAGAGCAGCACTCTCCGTCCAACGCGGTCCACCAGCATGAAGCTGCCCACGGCATTGCCAATGGTAAAGGACACAAATGGGATGAGAGACGGACCAATTCCTCGGTCGCGAGTTCGTCGGCCGCGGAGATCGGTCGCGAGTCGGGCGTCCACGAGCAGATGGACATCCAGGACGGTCCACATCGTGCAAAGAAAACAGGTCGGTGGAAGGCCCCCCGGATGATGTACACGCGCGTTCGTCGCGTGCGGAAGGTGTAGAAGGTGGAGTTCACCACCGGTTGGGTCTTCCGATTTCCTGCTCGCGCATACCGGGCCAAGGGCCAACCATCTACAACTTGCCTCGTAGCCTCCCCGAACGGATCATAGTTAAGATCGCCTTCAATGGGGTCTTCTGGTTGGTGCCATTCCCTTCCAAATACCTCCCTCCATTATATGCAGTAGGTCACTGCCCCTGCAAAGTTCTCCTTCCATGTTCCTTCTAATTATGGGTTGATCGACTTACTTCGAAACAGCCGCCCGTGCCGTGCCACAAGTCCCACGAAACGTGCACATTCGAGAGGCCTGAGATGCCCAAGGCTTTGAACAAGGTCCCACTGAAGCTCACCATGGCATTGATTCCAGTCATGATCTGAAAGAACTGCACCAGGCATCCAATCAAAACCACCTGAGCCCGAAGTGGGGTGCGTTGGAAACGCCACTTCGGACGTGCAAGTTGGGGGGATGCCACCGGTGGCGCTGGGGTTTGGATGGAAAAGGGGGTTAGAAGTGGTGGGATGAAAGGAATTCAAGCTGGAGTTCAGCCACATGCAGCTCAGAATGGATGTTCCAGTGTTATAACGCTGTATTTTGGGGCGGATTCTTGCAAGACTAAACCCAAGACCCACGCTCGTCATGCGACAGACATTTCCAACTCTCCCCGAACCACGTCCGACCACGGGCCCCGTCTACGCTTGCTCGCCCAATCTGATGACCCAGGTCGCAGCGGTCGGTGCATTTGATACCTGGATCTTCCAACTGCGCAGGGTACCAAGAGAGGTTGAGACCTGAACTAGGACCCTACAGTGGTACATATGGGATAAGCTGATAAGCTATACATACCTGGATCTTCCAACTGTGCAAGAACATCTGCCTTTTCATCTTTAAAACCAGCCAAGTTCACCAGACACAGTTGGAAGATCCTGGTGTAGTAGAAAAAGGCACGCAGGGGCTGTGGGTCAAAGATCCTAAAGGTTCATTTCGGTCTGAAGACCGCTGCGCTCTGCGGTATCCAAACAAAAGGACCTCTTTACTGTTAGCCCATTGAACCCTTCGCCGTCTAGTCACGCCACGCTCGATGTTGGGCGCGTGATTTTGTGACGGCGCGGCGACGTTCGAACCCTCGTGACGTCGGTTTCGCCGTGGCGAAGGGGTCCTCCGGTTCGCCGGTTGGCCGCGGCGCGTTCCGGAAGAAAGGCGTCGTGAAGATCTCAGACCACGCCGCCTCGCCGGTCTGCCTCGTGGTGTTTTTCCGGGTTCGCGGCTCCGCGCGGGACTACTCCGAGGCGCGGGTGGACGGTCCCGACTTGGAGGACGACGCGGATTTTTCTACGAGCAAAAAGGCCCAAAGATTGTCCAATGGAAGCCGGAGTCCAAAAAACAGTGAAAAGGCACGAGGAATCTAAGCTGAATTTTCATCCACGGATGTGTCACCCGTGGTGTCCCCTCATAGTCAACCCCTATGTAATCAGGGAGGGGAGGGGCCTATCCTTAGAACAAAAAGCCATCTGTATGAGTTTTCCAAGTGTGTGTCCATCACTCATCCAACAAAAACACAAAAAATGGAATAGTCCCTAGGAGCTCTGCGATTTCTTCCGCCCAGCGGCTTTTCTTCAGCGATTTCCCGTTGCACCTCCTGTGCTCCGAAAGCATTCGTTCCACCGAAGGACGGGGATCGATGTCTCTACCTCGTTCAGGTCCAGGCACCCTGACTGCCAGGACACCAACAGGTCAACCTGTTCGGGCCCAACACCCAACCCTCCATGGATTCGGAGACCTGGTGTGGTGGAGACCGGGTGCTGGTAGATGGCTCTTTTCCAACTTAGCTGGAATTGTCTCATCAATGTGAGCACCTTCCCTACCTTCCTGCTCTTCTCTTCTCTTCCCATCCCTCCCTCCCTCCGCTCTTCAAGATCCCCCCGTCCCCCTCTCCTGCAGCTCGTCCTGCGCTTGCGCCGCATCCCCCCGCAGCCGCGTGAGCGTGTGGAGGGCCTCGCCGGCGCGGTCGGCGGAGGCCAAGTAGCGCGGGGTTTCGCAGACGAAGAAGAGGCCCAGCAGCACTGCAGCGCCCATGAGAACCTGCACCACACTGGTCAGCAAAAGGGGCTACCGTCAGGCTCCAAGGGCGGGGACAGAAGGATGAGGAGGGCCGGACGCAAGATGAAACGTTTGTGTTGTCTTTTTGCGCGGCAGAGATGGTGTATTCTTGCGGGGCGGGAGAGTCAAGGGGATGCTTGGGCAGACTGTTGGGTCCTCAAGACCCAGGGTGCCCTTGCCGAGTCCTGCACTCAACATCCTTGAACCAGTAAGTGTTTGCAAATGGTCACCGAAAACGGGGGAGTTGGACCACTGACAGGCTATTCGGCCCCTTGCTGTTGAGTTTTTCATGCCGGCTCCAGAGGACCCTCAATTGCCACCTGCAGCCCCAGCGAAATGCGCCAGCCGTAGCCCAGGTCGTGCACAAAGTAGTTGAGGAGTGCCGCTAAGACGATGGCCAGGCAAACATTGTTTTGGTAGATGCCCACCAGCATTCCGCGAATCCGATGCGGTGCCACCTGAGGGCAGTTTCTGGCGAGGTCGGACACCACGCACTCTCCCAACAACCGACCTACTGCGCGACCATTTAACACGATGGTTCTTTTGGATGTGACAAAACACTCCATCACCACTGAGGAACTGCAAGATAAGAACGCACATACCCTCCAAGGGAGTACCGAAACGCCAAAGAGCACGACCGATCAACTCGTCCCCTTCCCCCGTGTCCCCCCGCGGCCGCCTCCGAGATGAAGGCCGGTCCCGCCGAGCTGGTGATGCCCACGCCCACGCCGGCCACCACGCGGCCCAGGATCAGCATCCATTCGTGCAGCGCCGAGGCTTGCCTCGGAGGCAGGTGCGGAGCGTCGGAGGAGGGCCTTCAGCATCTTATCAGGTCGCGGCCGAGGTCGGAGCAGAGGTTGGAGCAGGTCGATGTAGGGGGTAGTGAGGGAGCAGCAGGTCGATGGGAAGGACAGAGACGCAAAAGGTCGTGGGTCTACCCACCACCCAACCAAGTCTGTAAGTAAGTAAGTAAGTAAGTAAGGGTGTGTGACGTGTGCCGTGAGTCTGTTTGGCCTTCCAAGTAGAAACAGTGTTTTGGGTTGTGTCATAGAGATCCTAAGCTTTGCTTCTCTCCAAGTGTCACAGCACCGCCCAGCGCGAAGAGCAAAGTACCCATCAACAGCGCCGGCTTCCGTCCATGGCGATCCACCAGCAGATGTCCTGCCAGCACTGCTGCGATCGCTGCTGCTGCATTGAAGCCGTTCACGGTGAGACCTTCCCAGAAAGCCACCTCCGCGTTGTCCTCCTTTGGCCAGCCTCGGATCAGTCTGCTGGGAAGGATTGAGAGACGAAACAAAGGACGCCGACCTGGGAGGGTCAAAAATGGTTCAATGTTTCTTGGGGATGAAGTGAAAAGGTGACGGGAACCAAGTCATTATGTTGATCAGCATGTCGTGGTGACAGCACAACGACTGTATTGGAATTCACTGTCTGCACCTAGGAATTTCAGACGGCTCAGGCTGGTGCGTCGTACCCTGCCCGCAGGGGGTACCTCTGTGCCCAGGGGGCGCCTCAGCACTTGGTGGCCCAAAAAGCCTGGTCCAATTGGCCGAGCCAAACCCGGAAGGAATTCACCAACCTCTGGTTCCAAACCCGGTCCCTGGAAGTCACTCGCGGCTCGTGAACGGAACTGTTTTCCCCCGTCTGAAATTCTTCTTCACCTCGCTGACGAGGCTCCCATCATCGATCGAAAGCTGGGCATCGTAAAGACGTCGTTCACCACGCCGTTGTCATAGCCTGAGGAGGGTGGAAGCTTCGGTCGTTGTCTTTTTTCAGCGTCCATGAAAACAGGAAGGAGCTAGACATTGGGAAGGAGATAGACCGTGTTCACGTCGTAAAGGATCAACAGAGCAAGTACAGAGATGGATGTACAATGTATATACATGCATGTAGTATCCAGCTCAAGGAGGGCTTTACCCTCGTGGCATCTGTATCGAATCTTAGGCATGTACGCGTAGATCTGAACGAAGGTAGCTGGATCAAGAATTGATAGATCATAGATACGTGAAACTAGATTGAAATGGAGAACTTTCAACAAAGAAAAAGCGCCGCTTTCTGACCGTTGCTTTCTGACCAACCGGCTCGACCGGCTCGGGACAGGGGGCGATGTGAATTGACGGATGTTTCTACGTTGGTTTCGTCCAGTCGACCAAAAAGAAATGATGAGGTCCTCGGGTATGTCCAATTTCAATCAATTTCAGGCATTGCCGATGTCCACCTTCAGTGGTCCCCCCAAAAGAATGACAGACACTCCAAGGGACCGGCATATGAATCCATACATTGGTGTTGGTTGATTTTCAGGTTAGTTGGGCATAGTCTTACCAGTCCCATGGGTCGACTTCGGTGGCCGACTCCGAGTTCTGCCCACCGCGCGCCAGGGGCCCGGCGCGATGGTCGAGGGTGAAGAAGGTCCAACCTATCGGGTCTGCTGCGGCCAGGAGGCCGTGGAAGAAACCGGTGAAAGCGACCTCGGCAGCAAGCATGCATGCGACCCGGTGCACTTAAGCGAAGTTTGGGCGCATTCATCATGGAAGAAATCCGTGAAACTCCCACACCACTTCTTGATAACATTCTATATCTTGGTGACTTGATGTGATAATTGATTCCTGCAGGCCTCTGATGCCTGTTACTGTCTGTCATATATATATATATATCCCACGCTTCTTTTGCCGCTCTTTGCTAAGATGCCCAAGCGTGAGTGAAACTCAACTGAGGAGGCAACTGCAACGAACAAATCAACTTCGGCCAAGTTCAATGCTCATGCACAAAGTACAATGCTCAATGCACGACTGAACTGCAATGCACCATGCTGCTGCCTCTTCCATCCTCAATCTCCTGCAACGCAAACCAAAAACAGAGGAACATGAAGTTTGGTAGGGTATAGCCATTGAAACGACAGGGGTGGAACATACCCCCAAATCCGGTGCCACGGTTCCAGCAAATGCGAGCACCCCCAGAGAGGAGAGCCAGGCCAAGGATTGCACAAGAAATAGGCGCTAAAAGGACGCCCTGGCGAGAGCCAGGTTCTTCCAGTCGCCACTTTTTGTCAACTTGCCAAGATCCGCTCAAATGATGACGATATTCGGGTTTCACCTGCTGGACTGCAGTAATGGCATACACCAACATATACAGGAGTGAAGTTTGTTCGAACGATGCAAGACCATAGGCCGTTAAGGCCAAGTTTGTGATCTCAACACAAATAACAACCAGCTCAAGAGTCAAACCTGCATAGGTCTTACACCGCAAACCAAAAGTTGTCAAGCATTCGGCCAGCCTGTCAAAGGGCGCCCGTGCAAACCAGCCTATCAAGTTGAGATCGCAACGAGGGGCCCGATTGCCATTGCAAATCGGGCCAGGGTTCTGCTAGACATCTCCAGCGAGGAGCAACAGCAAGCGATACCACCTACCAAGCGGCCGGATCCAAGTTGCTGAAGCGATCATCGTGTCAAAGCCACTTGTTCGACCAACACGCAACTGCTCCAACCACAAGGGTTCTGGACGTGAAGGGCCTGGGACATCACTGTCACGTGACGGCCCGTCAGCTCTGTTCCACTGAGACCTGCAGTGTAAAGTTCCAGGGTAAAGACAACCCCCCAAGATGTAGCCCAAACTTCCTCTAAGGATTCGGCTCAAAGCCGGACTGCTACTGCGACCTTTAGCTGCAGCCCCCATAGTGACCCGTGAATCCAGGATACCGAGCACCCGCGTTTGCGGGTGACATTTTGAAACATGCTTCAACCACGACTTGTAGACACGGCACTCCAAGCAGTTGATGTGACCGGATTTCTTGAACCGGTAACGAAAAAGCTCACTAAATGCGACACTTTCGCAAACATCTTCAATCCACTCAGGGTCGTCATGCCAGGGGCGTAGCTCGTCCGGATCTAAAACTGAGGCAGCTCTGCGATCTTCTTCCGGCAGAGCAACGTTTGAATCTTGAGGCCCTGAGCTATGCGCTTGTAGGCTGCCCGCGCTCATTGCCTCGCACAGAGGAATCGGGTAGCTTGCTGAAAACGCACTAACAGCTTCCCCAGGTCTGGGAGTCTTACCATATACGGCCTTAGCCGATGGGCGGCATCTAGCTTCAAACAACTCAATGCTCCCTGTTGTAAAGGTGCCTTGAACTGTGAAATGGCAGCCCTTGTATGGGCATTTGCAAGCTCCACCTAGGGCTGCATACCAAGGCTTGTTATGCAACCATTTGCTAGCTTTTTGAAAACCGGAACCGTAGCTGCAAAAACAAAATTTGGTAAGAGCGCAACCAGCTGCAATGAGTCTCTGAAAAATCTGAAGTTCAAACATCACTGACCCTCCAGGCTGTTCACAAGAGATGAAGCTCCCACTACCGAGGGCAAGAAACAAAATGAAGGCGGTTCGAACTGCCAACAAAGTTTGCTCCTTAGTTTGCTTATCCTCGGGATTGAAACCTGCCGGGCAAAGCTTAGATCTCAATCTGGGGCGTCTCAACGTTCCAAATGACCAGCATGGTGGAGCTGCGTGCCACTCCTTTACGGCTCCAGAGTATGCTAGGTGGGCAAGGTCCCTGAAAGTTCGATTATCAAACAAGTCTCCGTAGCCCCGGCCCACAGCAGTCCGTTCAACGCCTGGATGCACTCTCAAGCCCCTGCGGGCGTGTGCTTTGCTCCAATTGCCGACACCTGCAAACAGTTCAATGCAATCATAGGCGATTGTATTGTCACGCAATGAGTTTGTCAACTTTGAAGTAAGACTGAAATTCTGCTCCACTGGTCGAACTTCAGGTCCACCAAAAGTTTCACAATGCTCCATACCGATCTCCCTGAGCGCTAGTCCAACCCCTTGTTGAAGTTTTGTGTAAAACCCTCTTTGTTCAGAGTGCCTCCAAAATTCATCAACAACTGCGGAGGGCATGGCTGCGCGGCAAATGCCCCCCCCGAAGGGAGAGGCGTCAAGCATGAAGATCTCTGGCGCAGTTCTTACTCGCATATCAGTCTGCAAGGTTGGGGCAATCAAACACAGGCTCATTAGTTCGGCTCTGCATTGCTTTGACATCTTGAACACCAGGTCTTCATGGAAGCTGGCACCTTCTTGATAGACCTTGTCCAAAACTGAAAAAGCGGGACGTCGAAACAGGAGAATGTGGGTCCAACATCCTATAAGGGCTTGAAGTAACTTTCGTGTGACAAGTCCTTTCTTTACAACAACAGCAGTGATGAAGCACAACATGGCCACCCTACCCCGTGGGGCTGACACTCGACCTCGAGAGCCATCGACTTCGGCGCCAAGCACCGTAGCGTGCAATGCTCTGCGTTGTCTCTTGCCCGGGTGCGCAGTGATGGTGCTCTGTTTGCTGCTGTAAAAACCTCAAGATCCCTGTCGTTGCAGACGAAGGAGCCCCCCGATCGACGAGCTTTCTGAAGTCCTATGTGGTCATCAATTGTCAACAACTCGAAAAACGATCCTCTGGGGATCGGCTGCCGATACAACAAACACTCCTCCGCCCTCATGCAGTCCGCTTTGTTTTTCAGCAGGTTCACATGAGCTTGCTGTGCAATCTCAACCGCCAGCGAGTCTCCCATTGCGAGCGTGGCCAAACACACCAACAACTCACCTCGATGCTTGGATGGATCAAAACAAGAAAGGTGTGCAAGTTCTGTTGCTCTGAATGGGACACCAATAGCGTTCCTGCACGCACGCTTGCTTGAGACCCGGAAGGTATAGTAAAATTCACAGAGGTCGTCCGACGAGCAAAGCAGACATTCCTCCTCGCCCAACTGAATCAGCGCAATCAGATACCCAGGAGCTATTGTTCGTGTGAAGTTGAGTACGGGTAGGACCGGGAGTACCTTGAGGTAAAACGGTGCGGCAAGGCTCCAAGCTTCTCCTAATGAACCAATCCAGCTTTGGGCAGGAATACGCGGTCTTCAGGGAGGCTAAAAACAACTCAATGCATCTAATTGACTGAGGAAAAGTGGCTCCATGAATCTGAGGCTTCAAAGCGGCCCTTGACTCAACGTGAGGAGCCTTTTTCCTCACCTGACTCATGCTGCTCCCACTTGCCCTTCCCTCACCAACGGAAGTCTCATCGACCCAGCCCCTGTGCTCCCCCCGACCGTGAGAAGCAGTAGGGAGACAATCCCTCTGCTCTGGCAAAGAAGAGGACGGCAAAGGAGAACACAGGTTCGGGGATGGATGTGAGGTTCTGCGGGCTGTGGGCTTCAGCTCTGCTCGCTGTCTTCCTTCTGTTTCTTCTTGGGCTTCCAAGGAGCCTTCTCTGTAGCTTGGGCGGTCTCGTCGCCAGCTTCCTTCGCCTCTCTCAAGAGGATGAAATTGTTCTCCCCTTGATTTTTGTTTCGAGGTAATCGAGGTCTTTCATGAAAGCTTCGTTCGCTTCCACCCAGCTGGCCGCCGCAGGGCGGCTGAACGGGGTCAAGCTCTGCCGGCGCCGATTCCTTTGAGCGGTGCTGAACTGTAGTTCTAGCAAGGCTGTCAGTGGCCAACCGAGATTGGTGCGACCAAAGTCCACGGCCGCTTGATCGATGAATAGAAGGCCGCAACTGGCCACTCCCATCAGAGCGACATCGTTCGTCCGGAGCCCCGTCTCCCACGCAAAGCCCCATCGATCCGCCTGTTGGATCAGGAGTCGATTGTCGCCTAATGGACATTTCTTCTCCATGTATTCTTCCATGAGCCCCGGCCCCACTTGACTGTGCGCGATGCCCAGTTCTCGAGAGGCGTGCTCCATGACGGTCCATGATCCTGCATCAGCTCCAGATAAGCTTTGCGAGCTAAGCAACCTTTGACGCTGCCTCTGCCCGTGCTTTGCCCACCGGAAATTCCAAACAAAGCGGCTGTCAATGGATCGGGGGTCTGACGCTGTTGCTGTTGCCGCGCCAACATAGCAATCTGCTTCATCTGCAGGACAAGCGTCCTCTGAAGTGGGTCGGTCAACGCCAGTTCCAGATCTGCGATGCCTTCCTCCAGCTCTGCAGGCTCTGCTACCCCCAACCCCGCCTCTTGTTGCAAGGGCTCCAGGATCCTCTCTGGCCGCTGTTCTCGCACTGCACTTTCGCGCGCCCTTAGTCGAACCAAAGCCACGCCAGCTAATGCTCTGAGTCTTTCGACGGCATCCTGTGGACCAGCTTGTGGTGAGACGGTGTGAACACCGCCAGGTAGGACGCCTCGGTTGGGAGGCGGAGGCGGCTGAACAGCTTGAGCCCCCCCATGTAGTGGCGAGGCGGCTTGTGACTGGAGCGCTGCTTCGAGTTGAGTGATCCGTTGCTGGAGAAGGGAAACCTCCTCCTCCTGCTGAGCCCCACTCGGAGGCAAAACAGATGCTGCGGGCCACATCTCGTCGTCTCCAGTCACGTAAACGCTTGCAGTGTCGCCGTCCATGATCTCGCGGATCCACTGCTCTGAACTTGCCAGCAGGGCGGAGCGCCGAGGGCGACAAGGAGCACGTTCGAGAGTAAGGCGCAAAACCTCGTATGCAGATGGATTCCTCAGCGGGTGCCCCTTCCTGAAATGCTTGGAAACCATCCAAGGCACATCGGCAAGTAAACATGGACCTGCAGGAAGTCCGCGGCAACGAACAGTTTCCATGTACACCGCGGTGGTGTAGGAAGCTCCTTGATCGTCTTCTCCCTCCTCTGTGGTGAGGTATGGAAGGAACTCTGCAACTTCTGCCAGGCCTGGCAGAGCAACCATGAAGCCTCCAGTGCGCACTCGTACGAGAGCGCCTAAGGCTCTCAGACCTGATCCATCTTCTCGAGAAGGAAGGACCAGGAGCACCCCTAGTAAGGGCCCTGTTGATGGGGTGTCGTTCAACAGGGCTCTCAGGGTCTGCTCGGTCATAGGCGGCGCTCCAGAAGCGGAGGCCATGGTTCTTGGGCACCGAGCAGGTAGGCGTCAGCTTCAGCTCTGGATGCAAAGGCCTGGCTCACAGTCCCAGGCCAAAACTCGTGAGGTTGTTTGCAGACCTGCCCCAAGTAGGTAGTGTAGTCCCCCGTCCACTCAGGAGAAAGGCCAGGTCCGGCCTTGAGCACAATGAAGAACTTTGAGGGCAAAGTAGGTCCCCCAACGTTGGCGGCCGTCAGTGGCCGATTGTCCAGCCAGTGCCTAGCCAAGACACCAGCCCTCAGCGCTCGAGCCAAGCGAGCTTCAGGATCCCACCCCGCACTGGTAGTCCTCAGACGTGAGATCAAGTGCGAGATAGGGGAGAGGTCCAATTCTTTCAATGTGGTAGGCGAGTCCGCCCTGGCCAGAGCTTCAAACCACTCCGGAGTCCACGGCCCAGATGTCGACAGGTCCTCACCGACCTCAGACCAGGAAAAGATGCTAGCCAGCTCTGTGTGAGCCTCTGGCTCGGTGGCCCGAAGGCCTGCAAGGGCACCCGAGCTGGGGAGCTGTGAAGATGTAGAAGAAGAGGAGGATGCGCCCACACGCAGAGGAGTCGATCTGTAGCCTTCGCGACGCGAGACCCGGATCCGGAGTTGGCCAACTTCCAAGGCGAGTTCTTCCACCTCGGTGTTTTGGTTCATACACTGTCTCCTCGATGTAGCGCTAGCCTCCTTCTGGCCACTTCGGCCAAAGCGGCTGATTCAGCCTACAAGGCTGAGGATGCAACTCCAGTTATCAGCCGCCAGTGCAAAGGCCAAATAGGCCAAAGGAAGGGCGAGTGCCCAGCTAGGACCGAGCGGGCGCTCGAGCCGAGATTTTTTCTTGAGATGCAAAGTGGCTGTTTTGCTGGGATAACAAGCATATATACACTATACATCACTATACAAAAGCACACTGCAAAACGAGCCAAAACGATGAAACCAACCCGCTACCTGTGGGGGGCTGCACGAAACAACACATGCACCCTGTGCTTCAGACAGGCGACGAATGCACAAATGCCCACGGCATATGCTCCACTGCCAGACTTGCCTGCTTTCACAGGGCTCTCCACGACAGAAACGTCGGCCATGGCCGCACGTACTCGCTGACGTGACTGTGGGGCTGACGTTTGAGCTTTGGGCCGATGCTTCGACATACTCGCTCGCCTCAAAGAGGGTCCGCAAAAGCACCCCAAGAGGGGCTGGAGAGGGACCGTATAGTGGTCCCAAAATAGATAGTGGCACAGTCTTTTCTGTCTATTTGGAGGTCCAAAAAAACGTTGCAGGCGAGCCGATCCCGAGGTGTTTGAGGTCAGAGGTGGCTGGGCACTCAAAGGAATGGTTTCGAGTCCCATCCAGTGAGTGTATGTGACAGGGGCACCCCGACGGCACCCTCCAAATCAAGGCAAGCGTTGTTGGTACAAGAATATGACGGGAATCTTGCTTCGACCCCACTAGACAGACGTGCAGCGCGCTTTCACAAAAACCACACTGGTTGGGCCCTCTGGGAGGCAGGCGCTGCAGCGCCTGCCTCATGTGCCGCTGGCACAATGAACATGATACTGATACAGCTGTGTAGCCAGGCTGCCTTTCAGAATCCCATTTACACATGTCCACACAAACTGCAAGCCCTTGGAAGAACCGTGGGGGCTGCATCTGGATTTCCAGCAGCAAACGGGTCCACATGCCCACCGACGAGTTCGACCAGCTCGCCCCACCACATCGCATAGCCTTGACATCAAAACTCTGGACTGCAATCCAAGAATTCCTGGCCCACCATTGATTTAATAGCTTGAATCCCGAACGACCCTTGTTTACGACTAGGGATAGAATCCACTGCAAAAACCAGGTGAAGACCCAAGGGGAAGCCAGTGCATTCCTCATCAAGGCTTTGGCCGCACTGTCGAGGAGTCGAGGAGTCGGCGCTCTCTTTTTGATGTCCACGTCGACATGTCGCTTCGAGCTGCCACAGGCTGCAGCAGCTACTGAGTAGCTCTACTCACACATTGGAGTACCAGACTGGTCTTGTGAAGAAACCTGTGGTGTTTTCAGACGACACAAAACGCAACCCGATTCGAAGGATCGAGGAAAGGAAGAGGCTTCACTGGAAACTGTTCGCTGCATTTCATGACTCTGTCTTCACAGCCAGTCTGATCATTTCCATGTCGTTTTTTCTCCCTGCTTTGTTGTTCAAAGACTTGACCCAAACAAATGGAGGAATGCTCAACCATGGAGGATTTGATCACCAAAGAATGAACTGAACCAGAGAGCATGACAGCAGACTTCTGACCTGTGCCATAGGTCCCAGAACCAGGTCCCCCCAGCCAAAGACTGTCCCCATTGGCTGAAAACATCTTTCGGATATGAAAAAGCAGTCATGCCTTTGCCCAAGCCCAACGGAAAAGGATGGATCGACTTGCCAGGTCAAGAAGGCATCCCATTCCACACATTCGACTTCCACACTGCCGAAAACACGAACCGCGCCTAGCTGGTCCGGACACTTGAGCACCGATTTCGTGCAGAAAGCAAGAGGCACCGATGTGCAGGCTCCGCCTGCGATCGTGAGCGATCGGAAAACGTCAGTTCTGACGTGCTGTTTCTTTCCGCATCCAACTACATCATCACATCGTCATGCACCAAATCCTGCCCACCGAGCTGTTTGGAAAAGAGGAGGATCGATGCATGTCTTCGTCTCCTAACATGCATGATCTGCCGAATGATGGAAAAAGGTCACCAGGCCTCGCGTGGCGCCACGGAAGGCACTGCATTCGATTCTGGCCTTGCAAAAGCGGGTGGCCATAGGAAGCGGATCTCCTGCCGGCACGTCGAACTCACCTCAGCCAATGTCCGCGTGGAACGTCGGTGTCAAACCGGTAGTGGGCCGCCGGGGTTTTGGGCCAAGACGTTGGGAAAGGGCAGAAGTCAAAAGGAGGATACTAGGCCTGGCAGGTTGGTTCCGTACTCCGTAGTGTTGAAGACTGTCAATTCTCCAACTCAGCCTCAATCCTCCTAAGCCAAGACGCCCCACATCAGCGGCTGCCCACACGCGCAACAATCAAATCCGAAAGGCAAGTCTGGGCCCGTCTCATGTGATGGCGGCATTTTCACCTCGAAGGCAGCAACCACTTTGCAGTGTTCAGGATTTCTCACAAAAAATGGTTTCTGATTCTTATCACTTCCCGGCGTACGCGAACCGTTTTCGTGCCGGGGGGGAAAAAATGAAAAAAAGGGTTGCGCCACCTGGCCATTCCGTGCTACGTTCGAAGCCTCCTCTGGGCCCCCAACGAGTCGCAAGCTACGTCGAGTCACCAGCTGATGCGATCTCCTCATCCACTGTCGCCCGTCGTCCAGAAATTTCTTCTCCGCCTCCTGGGAAGAGGAGAAGAAGAGGGCAAGAGAGGCCCTCTTCAAGAGAGGAGGTGGTAAGCCACTCCCACCAACTCAGTCCCAACCAGAAACAGCTCGGGTTCTTCCAATCTCTTGGGGGGCAGCTTGAGATCCTTACCTTACATAACAAGCGGAGTTTGGCAGGTCGACTCAACACTCCGTGCTGCGCACGCAGGAGCCGCGCAGAAGGTGACACTGAAACATGGGAGACTCTGTTCAACTTAGACCTCCTTGTTGCAAACTCTCAAAAGTGAGGACTCCCAGTTATTCTATTTTTAAAAATACAGTAGAAATAAAACAACGAGCGCCACACCGAGCGGACACAGAAGTCAGTCTCCAGAAGTCAGTGCACGCGCACGCGCGTTTGCGCGTACCTTCCGCGCTTCGATGGAAGGGACAGTCCTCCCTCACGTGGTTTTCTCCAAGAAAACCAGCAAAGGTTTCGGGCTGAGACAAAGCCTCCGGGATGGAGAAGCTCAGCGGACAGCTCAGCGTTTCAGCGGACAGCGCAGCGACAGCCACCTTCCGAGCTCACTCCAAAGGTCTGCACGCAAAACAAGTACTGCGCCACTGCGCCAGACGACGTCCTGTGACGTGACGTCCGAAAATCACCGCCACTCGTGTCCTAACGTCACAAAGAGTTCGCACACCACCACCCCCACCACCACCACCACCAGCAGCAGCACCACCACTACGCGGAAGGAGTGATTTCACTGTTCTGCCTCACACACATCAACCAGCCGCCGCATGTCGACTTGTTTGGTGACAAGCACCGCTTTCCACACGCTTTCCACAAGCAACTCCTCCATCCAACACCTCCGTCCAACCCACCTCAAAACCTAAAGACCTCACAACCTCAACGACCTCACAACAGTAGCGCTAAGACTGCCCCGCAGCACCAGCACAATGAGACCAACCCTGAGGAAGTCACCGGATTTCACAGGACCTTCAGTCAGTGACCTCTTTCTGTGACCTAGAGGTCCTCGGACGCGAGGAGTCCTTTTTGGTCCTTTCTTCTGGGATCTCAACTTCGGACGGACGCATTCACACGACTCCGATCCCAGGGCCGATCTCCGACCCCACGGTGACTCACCGGTCGCTTCGGGGTTTGGTCGCACCCGCCGTGGAGTTCCGAAGCGCTCCGGGCCATCCCCAACGGTCCGGACGTCTGGGACGGCCAAACCAGATCCCTGAACCACGCGATGGAACCGAACCGCACCTGGCCAGAACTCGTTCCAACACCTTCGGCGACGAGGTTCGGCCAAGTGGCCCACTTCGCTGATTTGCCCTTGGCACGATGGTTCTCGAAGCGGTCCATCTCAATGGCTTCTTGCCATGTAATATCCTTGCGAAACCTGGTTGAGACACGGACAGATTGTGTCTACAAGAAGATGACAGCAAAGACAAGCGTCGTTTTCTTCTTCTTCACACTCCTTAGACAAGCTTCGGGCGCTGAGAGTCGTTTTCTGCTAGTCAAGTAGTCAAGTAGTTGGACCACGACCCCCGATTTTGACTTGTTCGACGTTTTTTTGCATCCCAGCTCCAGGTCTTCGTTGCATTGCAAATAAAACATATCTCAGACTGCATGCATTGCACAACAATAAAACATATCTCAGACTGCATGCATTGCACAACAATAAAACAAATCTCAGATGGCACATAACATGATGCTAGCTCATCGTATCTGAAACATATCTCAGACTGCACATAACATGATGCTAGCTCCTCGCATGTACCAAATGTTTGCTATGTTGCACTCTAAATTGTACCCTTTGGGTGGAGAATTTCCACGTGTTTGCCATTCGCCAAGTTGATGCTACGTTGGGTATGGATTGGAAGTTCTCGGATGTCTTTCAACTTGCTTACTTGCAACAACAACACGTACGACATGGACAGTTGCTGACGGTCAGAGCTGCAAATTGTTGGGGTGGGGGGTGGGGGGTGGGGAAGTGGGGCCAACATAGTGCGTCGGTCTACATCGTCGGCCAACATAATGACGTCGGTGGGGCCAACATAATGAACGAGCCGTGCAAAGTCGCTAAGCAGAGCCGGTGAGTGCAACAAAAAGTAGTTCTGTGATTTCGCAAAATGTGGAATTTGCAGTTGCAAAAGGATTCAGTGCGCTGACAGGCCAGCCAGCCAAAGCACGTTTCCTTTCCCACGAAGATCGCGGACGGCTTTTTCGGGTGTCAGGCTCTGGTGGTTGGTTACGAATCCCGAAGGGCATCGAGACCCACGGGACAGACGGAAGATGCCGACCCTGCAGCCACCTGGAAACCCCGGTCCGAAACAAGTCGATGGTTCCCCACATGTTAGCCAGCCACTTGTTCTGTAAAGGATCTCAAGCTGGCGCAAAGAAAGATTGGAAGAACCCGAGCTGTTTCTACCAAAAACCCAAAAACCCTCAACCCCAATACCCTGGTTGGGACTAGCTTTACAGGGTGTCATTCTTCTCCAGCTCTGTCACCATTCGTGCTTCGTCCAAGTCATCGGACGTTCGCCCGTGCGGAAGTCCAAAGGGTGAGCTTCGACCAGGCAGGTGCGCCACAACCACCCCATCTGTTCAGGGCTTGGTGATTGGGTGAAGCCTGGCTTTGGGTGATGGTTTTCTTTCGTTTGGTCCACTCACACCCAGCTGTCCAGCTGTCGCCGTGTTGGGGTCGTATCTACCAGGGTCGATCCTCTAAGCCGCGGCAGTTCTGGATTTTCTGCTCGGTTGGACCCTGCAGGGTCCGGGCCCGAACCAAACCCTATCTACTGGCCCGGACGTCTGGTAAGGGATCTCTTCACTGGGGCGGCCCAACTGGACCATTGGTATAATCTCGGTAGATCCAACGAAGCCTGGAGCAGTTAGTGTTCCTCTCAACGAAGCCACCCGTTTCCGGCGCCCAGTTTCTTCAAATGATACAAATAGACATAGGACCGCGCGCGGCCACAGCTCTTGACACAGTCCTGCTGGAGTGACGGAGCCGACGCAAGCAGGTCGGCAAACCAGATCGCTACCATTGGACATGGTTTGGAGAAAGAACACTTGATTGGCACCCCAGATCCAAGTTGATCAAGTTCCAAGTTCTCCCAGCTTTGTAAAAAGTGACCTGACCTGGAGAGTCCAGAAAAAAATGTCACCTTCTTAAGCGGCATCACGCTACACCCGCGCGTCCCACGCGGCCTTCTGCAAGAACCTGAGGTGATCGACCTGATCCTGCAGCTCCTGAGGATGAGACTTTAGGAGTGAGTCAAAGAAGAGATAGGCAAGCTCTAGGGGGTGCCAGCTAGACTCTGAACAAGGGTGACTTGTTGTCATTGCCTGTACTCTGCCAAGCCACTTTCATCGAAGCCTCCGGCTTTGGAAGAGGTGACAAGATTGATGTCTCAACGCACACAAAAGAGCCAGGCAAACAATCTAAGTTCAGAGCCTTCGCTTCGGCCTGCAATTGTCCAGCAAGTCACGATCTTCAAAATGCAGGTAACCCATGGTAGCCCATGATTCCAGCAACAGCAAGTCATGGAAATCTTCAGAACATACATGCTCTGTGCTCTGTACTCTCTGCTCTCGCCGTCTTCTTCTGGTACTCCTCCTTCACTTGTCTGGGCCACGGATCCTCGGATTCCGAGCTTCGGTGCCGCCGGGCGCGTCGCCAAGCGGCGTGCCCGGCGCCGGCCTCTGCGGCGCAGTCCTCCAGCTTCGTGCAGCAGGGCCGGAGACTGAGAGCGACGGAGGAGGTGCGCCAGCGACAACAGATGAAAAGGGGCCGGGGCCCAGCTCCTACAACAGCGGGGGAAGCCGGTGAGCCGGAAGGTTGGCCGGAAGATTGGGGAAGCTTGAGGAAGGCCCCAAAGCCATAAGTGGTAGAAGCCATTTCCTAGCTTCTTGGGTGCTGCTATGTGGGTATGCTGGCAGCTTTGGGGAGGCCCCAAACGCGGGTCGTGACCGTCAAATTGCAGACCCCAAATCTGCAGCAGCTCCCGTCGCGACCTGAACCTGCCGCGACTTCAAGGACCCGTGAGACTGTTTTCAATCGTTCAACCGAATGTAGACTCTTGATCGATAAACTCCCGCAAACATGGATGGCGAAGCCTCTTCATACGAGAGTTCTTCTTCATCAAGAGTCGACATTATGGCTCCTGATGGTTGCTCATGAACTTTCTGGATGTTTGGACACTTGTGTGTCACAGCTCGTGGGCGATTTTGTGGGCGATGCTTTGAGCCCTAAAAAGCTGGAGGCCCTCCTGACATCTGTAAAAGTCAACTGTTCCGGAGAACCGACCATGAATGCTCATGGACACCTCACTGGGGTCTCTGTTTCTCTTCCATCCATCCAAGTGGCTTGGGGCAAGTGCTGAATCCCTTCCGATTCCTCTTGCACTCCATCTTTGTCTCATTCTGCAACTCGCCACAAACACACTTGCACCTGGTCAGTTCGAACTCACGTGTGAAACCTCGCGAGGAAGGACAAAAAAGCAAAGCAACCCCGCCTTTCTCCATGGTTGCTCTGGCCAGTGACGTAGCGAATCTTCCAAGTACTCTTCTTGCTCTCCTGGGCATTGTTTTCAGCTTCACTGAAGGCCTCTGGAGAAGTGCGAAGTCAGTGTACGGAAAATGGCGTGCTTGTACCAGAAACTGTGTCCTCTTCACTCTCCCGTTTCAGGCGTCAGTGATAGAAGTGTAAGAGATGTCAAGCACCCAAATTTCTGAATTCTGTTCAAACCTAGCTGCGGTACTGACAGTACTGTCGTCTTCCCAAAAACTCAGCAGTACTGATGACCACTCACATTACTTGGTACGCCTCTCAACTCCTCCTCTTCCGCCTGTCAAAGTGGTGACTGAACGGACTGAGTGAGTGAAAAACGGGAGTCCTTAAGCTTCGTCTGGGCCCTGTTCAGCCACTCTTTCGCCTAAAGGATCGCGACATATCGCAACCCCGAGCGACCGAATAGACCCAGGCAAGAGACTTGGGTATGTTGGGAGACCTCCCACCCGAGCCCAAAAAGGGCCCTCTCTTGGATCCCAGATGGTCCAGAGTTGGGGAGGTTGGGCATGTCAAGATCGGAGTGGATGATCTGTTACCCACGACTACAGTACTAGCTGGTTTACTGGGACATACCATCGTACCATCCCACAAGTCTCCCAAATGCGCGGAATTGGTTCAATCTGAATGCCTGACTGAAGTGTATGAGCATGCACTGGAAAAACTCACCAACCAAGCGTGGACCATGGTACACGTGTCCCAAAAGGGCCTTCAGCAACTTAAGACGCTGTTCAATTCTCTTCAACCCAAATGACTGAGATGAGAAGTCGACAAATCCAGAGACATCTAGATCACCCTCCTCAAAGATGAGCTCTGTGAGCTCTGGGTTCCCACGCAGATGCCAACCTTTCTGTCACCGCTTTGCACTCCTTGGCTGCACAAAAAGATCATGAAATTGGTCAAGTCAGTTGGTTCATGCCACTGGACCAACTGAACACTGGTCTTTCACAACCCTTCCTCCCAGACGGAATCTCCAGGGCCAGCGACAAATGAGAACTCCCATGATCCAACGAGTATCGGGTGTTGGTGGCAATCCCTTATTGTGCGACAACAAGAGTCTTTCAGCTGGCAATCCTGTAGGTCTGGCAGACAATCCTGCTCCAGGCGATACTTGTAGTACGCATCGTCCACCTGAAAAAACAAGCAGCAGAGCGGAAAAAAGCGGGAACTGTGGAAACAGCTCAGCGCGGTCGGCCTCACATTCCTGAGTTCGCATGGATCCATGCACGACATGCACAACATGACATGCACCGGGTTTCCCCGGGCAAAACATGTTGCTTCGTTGCTGGGTTTAGCCGTTTAGCCGTTTAGCCAAGCAAACACGACTTCTTCTTCTTCTTCTTCTTCTTCAACAGGGCACAAAATGAAAAAACATGGCACCAAGGTAACGACCAGTTGACCTATGGCGGGCCAGGTCAAGCTACATGGTGGGCCAGGGCTCCAGCTACGCATTCTCACTTGACTAGCCACCTTCCGTTTCACCACTGCAGACCCCACCACGATGGATATTTTTTGATCAAGCCACTGTGGCCCACTGTGGACAGCAAATGTTTTCTCGGTTCAAGACCTGGCAGACCGCGGAACCGGCCAGAACTGCTCGAGCCACATCTGTCAGCATCGCCGATTCGGCTGAGGCACCCGGACCGATCTCTCTGGATGATTGGACCAGAAGCAAAGGTCATCATCGGAACGCCCCCACTCGCGTTTCAGCAAGGCCTTCCTGTCTTTGGCACCTCAGTGGTGCGAAGTAGTCGTCCTGGCACGCTTTTGCGGTGGCTCTTGAAGGAGAACTCTGGCGTTCAAAACAGATCCTCTTCACTTGGCCAAGTACGAAGCAGCCGAGGCTGCAGCTGACATCCTCTGGGTCTTGCACTCTTCCGCATGCACAGCAGTGCTCGTAATCTTAGTCAGGAAGCTGTCTACCCTCACACTGGGCAATGTCATTTGCAATGAGTCTTGGCTGTGTCCCACAGGACTCTAGGGAGAAGTCAAGCATTGGCAATGGTTCTCAATTCAGGGGGACCCAAACTGCGCTGTCTGACCCTCAAGACCAAGTATCCCATGCGCTGCTGAAATGCCAAATTTTCCTATCATCAAGTTTCAGATTGTTCAATGCAAATCGTCCAATTCCTTCGTTTCAACTGTTCATATTCCTTTGGGTGCCCCACCTTGAGTCTTTCTGCAATTTCGGGGCAAGCCAAAGGAGAGCACCTGGTTCGTTCATCCGACGCTTCAAACATCAGACCAAATTCTGCAAACTCAGCCTCTGAAGAGTTGGTCAGGTCCTTTTGCCGCAGGGAATGAAGTGGAAGCACCTGCAAGATCCATGTGAAGGCGCTCAAAAAGTTCCTGAGGTTAATACACCTGCATGAGCGTCAGCAGAAGCATCATCATGTGGAACCTTGCAAGCAAATGGCAGCCCGTGGTCGTTATATCCAGCTCCACTAGTGTGACTCTTTTCTCTCGAAGATACCCCGCATGGAAACTGCCGACCAAGGAGCCCAAGGGCTGAATTTGGAAGTCTTCGTGAGACTGACAGGCCTGGTTTGAGCACAACAGCTATGTTCGAGCCGGACGACATCGCCAACATCGAGATGAACAAGAACACGCTCGATGTGGAAGAACCAAGAACCATCCCATCAACTTGATGAGGATTGAGGGAATCAATCCACAAATCCCCCGATACAGTTTCCTTGTGATCCATTCCGTCATTGCTTGCGAATCGCACTAGTCTGACAAGGATCAGTGCGACGTTTGCAAGACGACTGCATGTTTTTTTCCTAAGCGGTTTGCTAATGGGGGTCTCTCTTTAAAGAATGCCCAAGCAGCTTTCTGTTGGAGTTCTCCCTTAGGAAAAAGAAGCTGGCCGCAGTCTCGCTTGCGTGTTGTCATGTTTACATGCTGACAGGCTGCCATGTGGCCATGCTGTGGTATGACGGGTCTTCGCGCTTGGCTGGCGCTTTCCCACTAGGTGCCACACAAGGCTTGCGCATGTGCAATCTTTTTCTCGCATTGGACCCTTTGATTGCCCTTGGGGACGATGCTTCGTGCTCTTGCTGTCACGGTGTCATGCCTGCATGCTATGCTGCCATCTGGACAGCAGCAGAAGGACAACATGTGGACAACAGGAGGACAAGAAGAGGAAGAGGACCAGAACAGTAAAAGACATAGGACCAAAAGGTGACAACAGGAGGACAAGGTCTGGAGACTGGCTGGCAGCGGACAACAGGAGGACAAGAAGAGGTCAAGAACAAAACGACAGGAGGACAAGAAGAGGTCAAAAACAAGACGACAGGAGGACAAGAAGAGGACAAGAAGACAAGAGGAGGAAAAGAGAAAGTCAAAGAGGGCAACTGGTCTGGAGACCGGACAAGGTCTGGAGACCGGACAAGCAGAGGTCAGGAAGATTGAACAGAGAGAAGAAAGGACAACAGGACAAGGTTTTGGAGACCGGGGCAGCCGTGGCCAAGCTGCACACAGTGGGCGTGGCCAGGGACTGTGGCCGAGAACCCCAACTTTAAAACTGCTTGGTGAATAACAACCAGGATAACACTAAAAATAGATGTTTATACACATCATATTGGGTAACAGCAGAAAGAAACGATATTGGGCCACAATGAATGTTGTCATGAGAACAGTGTTGACGGATATGTGCTGTTGTCGAGCACTTTTTTGAAAGTATGGGTTCTCAATTTCTCTTGGGTTGGCTCCGAACTCGTTTTCTTTCCGTCGCAGTCACTTCGCAGACTGGTGAAGGAAAAGTATCATCGACAGATGACCACCCCGACTGGGCCAAGAGAACTTTCTCCTGATGGTTGCTTTACATCCAGAGTAAGTTCATGAATATCGTGAGTTACCAGTCACAATCTCCTGTTACCAGTCACAATTGTAGTCCCAGAACTTACTGTAGGTCCATTACAATCTCCTGCTATACGTACCTACATCCAAAGCCCCACGTCACCTAATGGTGGGAACACTCACCAAACGCGAGGGAAGTCCGTGACCGTATGAAAACGCATCAGAGCATTTCTGGGCTAGGGTTACCACCGGCTGCCCACACCGTCAAATGTATCACGATATAAAATATGATGCATATACTGTGTACACATTGAACATTTTACAAGTAACATTTTTGTTGCAAACATTGCGTGCGTGTTATTGCTATTTTTTCCACGAGTGCGGACGCCATGTGGGCGGCGTGCCCAGGTCATCGTTGAAGGAAAGGAAACACTGCATATTGATGGGGGAAGCAAACCAAAACCACCAACACCAAAAACCAAACAAAAACCCAAAACCAACCCCAAAACAAACCCAAAAAACCACCACAGCGGACCCCCAACCAATGTGAGCAGTGTTTCCTCTGTACTGAAAGTGAAACAGGTGAGAAAGACGAGCTGCAAAATATCTAAGGGCCTGAATTTTCTACGAAAGGCAAAATGCTTCTGGTCGTGGGTAATCGCACGGATCCGGCCAATCAAAGGTGGCCGCACTCCATTGGCAAGGATGAGGTCATCCAAGCCACTTTTGATGGTTGGCACTCAGCGTAGTTTGACATCATGCGAAGTACCAAGAGCAAAGTAAGCAGTTGTCAGATGACTACGGCCAAAGAGTCATCGGTTGCAAAGCATGGCAAGCCGTGGAAAATTCCCTCTCCACTGCTTTGAAGCCCTGCACCGAATCTACTTTTATGATGCGTGGCGGCCAGAACCAGTCCTAGGCGCGCCGGGGTCTGACCTTGTCCTACCGCCGGAGGCTGGTCTCTCAGTTCACGGCTGTTATTGGCCCCAACAGCGAGATGCTGATAACATCCTCTCAGTGTCAGAAGTTGAGACGGTAGATGCGGAGAACCCGCACCATCCTCCCAACTCACTAGAGACAACTGACGCCACCATGGCTGCGGGGGAAGTAGATAGTATTGTCTCAGTCCCTAGTTCCACTCCGGATCCATCCACGCTGCCCAGCTCGCCAAACCAAGCTGGCACTGATTCCCCATGTGCGAAGGAGATGACGATGCCACCTTTCATGAGGGAGAGGGTGAAAGCCTTAGCAATCGCCCATGGCAGATGAAAGTGATGAAGCGGGCAGTACCCTACCACCGCAAGGAGTGGATCATCACGCAGACGACTCCTCCTCCAATATCTCGGAGTCCCCAATCAAACGGCGGCCTGCAGCCAAGCCGGGATCCTGGCGAGCTCAATTCAAGAAGCTCCGCCAGTCTGCAGGGCAAGCACAATCACAGCCCCTGGGCAGCATCCCCGAAAACACGCAACGGCCCGTCACACTGGAGGACCTGGCCAATATGTCAGCCCCAATGCAAGGAGGCCACTTCTTGATCAGTCCATCTAGGTCTTGAGAGCAAGCCTGCTGGCCTGGCGGTGCTAAGACCGCTCTGAGCCACTCTCGAACCTTCCTGATCGGGAGTAGCAAGCAATGAACGCCAGCCTGGGCGCAGCATCGTCTTGTGAGCTCATAGTGCGCCCCACTTATGTCAATTTCACAGTGGCTGCGACCAAATAGAAGAAGACGAACTTTACGTGGGAGCTGCTGAGCCGCTGTTCCAACAGTATAAAATCGGCCATGCCCATCACCGGAGGATGGTTTATAGCCTACAGTGAGCTTGCCTTGATGACTTCTTGCTACCGCAAGATAGTAGTCAACAGCACTTACATGGGATTTCAGCTGTGCGAGAAGGTTTGCAAGTCCCTCATTGGATGTTTCGGGGCATTCAGTGAGGACAAATGCAGGAGTTGGCTGCAGGGGCCCGCTTGCAATAACAAAGCCAAGCTTCTGTGCTAAATGATACGGGGGCACCGCACGGTGAGCAGCGACAGCAAGAGGTTGGTCAAAATGCATTCTGGCTACCGCACTAGCCTGCCCCGCTAAATAATCAGCTAATTTGTTGCATTCTCGCGGTTGGTACACCAGTCGAAAGATAAAGGGGGCACTAGCAAGGAGACTCTGGCAATCTTCAAGCAGACGAACAATTTCCGGTCTTTTTACTCGCCCTTTTCCTTGAAGATATTTGAGGAGCGGGAGTATATCCCCTTGGATGATTGTGCCTTTATGAGGTATGCCACAAGCTAAGCACTGGCTGTGATATTCGAGGGCAAGTTGAACAGCAGCTAAACAAGCCTTGGCTTCAGCTACCACATTATCTGCGCATGGGATAAGTGGAATGGACTTCCATCGTACTAGAGTAGTATTTTCTTGGGTCACTTGCAGAAGACTAACTCCTGCGCCTCCTGTCTGAGAAAGCTTGTGAGCTGAGCCATCGAACTGCACTAGGCATCCTTGCCAGTTGGGTGCTTCTCCTATTAGGAGAATAGCATTTTCTGGCACATCGTCAGTAGCTTGTAACTTGTAGTGTACACTTCCACATGAGCAGGTGTATGGGAGGAGTGTTGCAGTCGCAGCTGGGAAGGGCAGGCGGTGATATTGCGTCAACAAGAGACGCAAACGTATGTCTGAGGGTCCGAAAATGGCAATTGCCTCATCCTTGCGGAAGGCTCGATTAGTGCACAGACCTTTATCCGGGAGAAGAGCTGAGTCAATCTGCGTCTGCGGGAATCTTTGTACTCTGATGTGTTCGGTGTTGGTGCACGGCAGGTCATGGTGAAGCAGTGGAGCTTGAAACCATTGGAGCAGGGTAGCGGGCAAGGATTGATAAATACGTTGCCACAAATCCAAGATATGGCGTTGGGGTGGTCGAACCTTGAGACATTCAATGGAGGGTCGTACCCCCCATATTCTGTGACAAGTCGTCGAGAATGGAATAACAAATAGCAAAGTGCAACACCTGTCTGTCGATTAGGAGGATGTTGCCAATCAAGGGGTGGAGCATTCCCTTTCCAGAGGAGGAGCCAGGCTCCGTGGATGACAGGACAATAAGAAAGCCAGTGGTCAATGGCATTAGCTCCCCCTTGACAGAGGACACAGGGAATGGGGGCAAACTGCGCTGCCGGGCCTGTTGAGGAGAGTAGCTTGGCAGCAAATGGGGGAGAGATTAGGTTAGGACTGGCAAGTCCAGTACCTTCAGTGCGACCATGCCGGGGCAGAGATTTTAGCAACTCTTCAGACATAGGCTCTGGGAGGCCTGGCTGCGGTCCAGTGCAGGTGTAGCACAGAGCTCCACTGCAGGATAATTCCTAGCATTACGGCCACACCATGCACAGGGGGAGGTTCGGCTAGCCCGCCCTCTGAGGGGAAGCCAAAGGTCAGCATCCTCTCCTAACGCCCATCGCATAACTGCAAAGCGGGGGACAGCCACAACATGCGCCACTGGTGTTTGCGCCAACCATGCCAAAAAGTTTAGAGATGGCCCATATGTCCACCCATTTCGAGATATTCTTGCAGACAGGTGGGCAACGGAGTCATCAATGTGATGCGCTATTGCATATTGCTTAAATCTATCCAAGAAGCGCCGTATCCTGTGCGGGGTATTATGAGACTGATCAAGAAGAGCCAATAATTGTCGCACTTCGTCAGGAGAGAGCAAATGTTGCCAAAATTTCCAAAAAGTATATACATGACGTCGATAGGACTCGTCAGTGTCTCTGACAAA